GCCTTTCCGAAAGAACTGTAAATTGAAACAAATTGGAAATAAAAAAAACACAAAAAAATTATTGCGTTCAAAAGTACCTGAAAATTGAAAAAACGCACAAGTAAAATAAGTTCTAAAAACACATGCCTTCTAAAAAGCCTGAAAATGAAGAAAGTCAGACGGGAAAAAAATTAACAATTTCCCGCTTTTAAAAAACTCATGTTTACTTAACTTAATTTTTTTCACGAAAATTGGACAGGGTGATTTTCTCGAGACTGAAAAAATTCACATTTTTTCACTTTTTTGAAATTCTCTTAGATTTTTTTTTTGAAAGAGTATTTTGTCTTGGGCTACCTGTGTCAAGCCAGACACAGGTAGCCCAAGACAGACACAGGTAGCCCAAGACAAAATACTTTTTCAAAAAAAAAAAATCTAAGAGAATTTCAAAAAAGTGAAAAAATGTGAATTTTTTCAGTCTCGAGAAAATCACCCTGTCCAATTTTCGTGAAAAAAAATTAAGTTAAGTAAACATGAGTTTTTTAAAAGCGGGAAATTGTTAATTTTTTTCCCGTCTGACTTTCTTCATTTTCAGGCTTTTTAGAAGACATGTGTTTTTAAAACTTATTTTACTTGTGCGTTTCTTTCAATTTTCAGGTACTTTTGAACGCAATAATTTCTTTTTTGTTTTTTTATTTCAAATTTTTTTCAATTTACAGTCTTTCGGAAGTCTTTTAATTGTTTTAAACATTCCAAATCACACCGAAAATCTTCAGCTAATCTTGTTGCATTGCCAGGAGTTGAAACGTTTATCCCCGGAGTGAGAGACGAACGTCTTAACCACTAGACCACCGCGTCATTGGTCGAAAGCTATTGTTCTCTATTTGACCTAATCCTTTCGATGAATTTTAAATTAAATAGTAACTTCGGTGGGAAAAATCGACCTTTCCCATGAAGGATTCGAACCTACCCTTACGACCTGGTAGGGCCGAAGCCTTAACCACTCGGCCACCGAAAAAGTACTTGAAATTTAAAAGACTGAAAATGAAAAAAAGTCGGTAAAAAACATTAAAAAAAATGGAAAAATGTCCCGCTTTCAATAAACTCACCTTTCACTTTTTTTCAATTTTTGCACGAAAATTTGGCATGGTGATTTTCTCGAGACTGAAAAAATTTACATTTTCTCTCTTTTTTGAAATTTTCTAAAATTTTTAGGACGTGGGAGTATATTGTCTTGCGCCTTTTGTCTTTTGTCTAGCTTGGACTGGAGCTTATTATTGGAAATGGCAATGCGGAGTAAGACGGTTCTTTGCTAGGCCTAGCGTGACAATGCAGGAAGGATTTGTTTTACTCCATAATTAATACAATTTTTTGCCATCTAGTCACTTGGAATTAAATAAACCTAAGCTTATAATATTAACCTTTAGCTTTTAGGATGTCCGTTTCGTACAAATATTGTTGTCAAAATTGCACATCGCCAACTTGTTTCGTTAATAGAATTTGTTTCCAATCCGATCGGCAACTCTAGTCGTAATTCGTAAAATATTTCTCTTGGTTGAATTTAAGATTAATTCCATTATATCATTGTATATGAATTTAAGAATAATTCCATAAAAAAACACATTTAAACCATGAACAAACAAAAAACTAAATTTCTTTCAAGGTCGCTCTGCAGTGATGTCGCGAGTCACCCGCGAATGAAGCCAAAATTTTCGGGACTTTATCAGTAGTTTCAGGGGCCTCCAATCAGCAGCATTTCCTACAAGGAAAAACATTTTTCGTCAATTTTTCGAAATTTCATGATCAAAATTCGGTTAAAAATACCCCGAAGTGGTTTAAACGTGGGCAAGTATCATTCTCCAATGAAAGCAATATATTTGAACACATAAAACCGACCTATATGATCAGTATGATGAATTTCAAAATTTCAAAAACATTGGTAATGGGGGCAAAGGAAAATTGCACTTTTCTTCAAATTTTAAAAACTCAAAATTTGGCTAAAAATTTTCACGGAAACAATTTACTTGAAAACAAAAAATCATACTTTGAAGAATAAAAAATTTCAGAAAAATCTGTAACGCAGGCCCAAAAGAAAAATCATAAATTCCGTCAATTTTTCGAAATTCAAAATCCAGTACAAAATACCTCGAAATAGATCAAAAGTAGCTAGAAACATTCTTTTATGAAAACCACACATTTGAACACATAAAATCAGATTTTGATGAATTTCAAATTTCAAAAAAATTGGTGATGGGGAGGAAAGGAAAAATTGTAATTTTTGATAAATTTTCAAAACTTCAAAATTCGCTTCAAAATACCTGAAATGATTCAAAAGTGAGTAAAATTTCTTTCTTTTTTAACAAATACATTTGAACACATAAAAATCATACTTTGATCAATTTAACAATTTCCGAAAAATCGGTAACATAAAATAACACCTTGATGAATTTGAAATCTAAACAGAACTACATTCCTTTATGAAAACAATGCCTTTGAAGACATAAAATCATACTTTGATGAATTTCAAAATTTCAAAAAAATCGGTAACCAGGGAGTAACTAGCCTAGGGAGTAACGAAAATTCGTAATTTTCATCAATTTTTGAAAATTTCAAAACTCGGTTCAAATAGCTCGAAATGCTTCAAATCTAAGTATAACTACAATCTTTTATGAAAACAATACATTTGAACACATAATGTTTTATGTGTTCAAATGCTTTTTTTCATGGAATATAATTCGACTAGTTTTCAACCATTTCAAGGAATTTTGAACCGAATTTTGAATGTGAAAGTATGATTTTATGTTTTCAAATGGATTGTTTTCATGAAGGAATGTAATTCTATTCAGTTTTGAAGCATTTCGAAGTACTTTGAACCGAATTTTGAAATTTCGAAAAACTGACGAAACTATGATTACGAATTTTCCTTTAGTCCCCCGTTACCGATTTTTCTGAAATGTTAAAATTTGTGAAAGTATGATTTTATGTGTTCAAATGGATTGTTTTCATGAAGGAATGTAATTCTACTCAGTTTTGAAGCATTTTGAAGTGCTTTGAACCGAATTTTGAAATTTCGAAAAACTGACGAAAATTACGAATTTTCATTTGAAAGAAAGAATGATTTTATGTGTTCAAATGGATTTTTTTCATGAAGGAATGTAATTCTACTCAGTTTGGAGCATTTTTAGGTACTTTGAGCCGAATTTTGAAATTTCGAAAAATGACGAAGATTACGATATTTCCTTTAAATTGGTCCCCCGTTACCGATTTTTCTGAAATTTTGATCAGTTTAGAAGCATTACGAGGTACTTTTGAAATTTTGAAAAACTGACGAAAATTACGATTTTCCTTTGGTCCCCCGTTACCGATTTTTCTAGAATTTTGATATTTGTGAAAGTATGATTTTATGTGTTCGAATGGATCGTTTTCATGGAGGAATGCAATTCTACTCAATTTTGAACCATTTCGACATACTTGGAATGGGGTTCGAAAATTTCGAAAACTGAAAAAATTACGATTTTCCTTTGGTCTCCCGTTACCGATTTTTCTGAAATTTTTAAATTTGTGAAAGTATGATTTTATGTTTTCAAATGGATTGTTTTCATGAAGCAATGTAACCCCCCAGAAAATCCTCATAGACCGCCCACATAAATTATGAATGCTTCCTTAAGGGCTGGATTGTGCAACATCAAACTCCTACAGTAAAATGTAAATTCACATCAGATTAAGCGTACATTACCCTCATTTTTTTCACCAATAAGTTCTGAAAAGTCGTGCCCTCTTGGCGAAGGCAAGTTATCATTAGACATGCTAGCCACACAGTTTAACGTTCATCAATCGTTCGTTCACGAATTTCAGCGGCGAGCTTGTCTTTATAAGTCGTCAGAAATCTGCAGGAAATGAACAGAAAACAATGTTAGTGTTTTAACAACACTTTTAAAGGAAACATCTGCCTGTTGTTTCTACTTGTAGAGAGACATTCGCCCGAGTTCTCGATATAGCCATCAGATAATCAGAGGGAAGCAAAGCATATCACCTGTTACTGGCACAAGAGATACTTCTGTGTAAAAGGACGCGATCATTGATAACAATTTCGGTAAAAATTTTCATGCGCGAAGGAAGACCGCCCGAATGCATGCTTCGAATTCCATTTAACCCGTCCCTGGCGTCATAAAATAAAGCAACGCGATCAGCTAAACACGATGGCCCAGTGACAGTTCACTGACTCGACCTGACAGGTCAATGACAGAGTTGGTATATACAGGGTGTCCCAAAAAAAACGAAAACTATTGAAATCACTCATTGTTAAAATTTGAATGCCGTGTGCACGAATTTTAGCCCGTGGGGATTTAATGCAACTCAGTAAAATGCTAAATGCTTTGTGTTGCTGGAGAAAGGGGACATGTCGAAGGTCATGGTGATTGAGATGCACATTTAAATATTGTTAATAAATATCATTTTCGCGTACGAGCAAATTTTACTGCATCATATGCATGCATAAAAATGCTTATGGCAAACATTTACACAGGCTTGTGGGTCCCAACAGAGTGCTTAGGCATTCAAACTCTAACAATTACATTGTTATGGGTGATTTCAATAGTTTTCGTTTTTTTTGGGACACCCTGTAGATATGCAAATATTTGAGGCCAATTTGTCAGCGGTGCTATTACGAAAGGAAAGAAAACAAAAGGCCAAGACAAAGAATACAAAGAACTACAGTGTGATATTGTTTGGCCTCCAATATGCAGCTATCTGCCACTCTGCTCAATAATGCTTCTGGGGCGGTTGTACAAAACTATTTAACTACATTTTGCGTAGTTAAATCCTAGTTAACTCAGAAATACACAACTCTGATATAGTTAAAAGTTAACTAGTCTTTCATACAACTGGCCCCTGATTGAATAACCATATGCTTGCTTTGGTACAAATAAAAAAGATGCTTGCTTTATCTCAAATCGCCCATTTTACGCCACATCCATCCCGTTGTGCGTGGTTCTTGTTTTCGAAAATGAATAAATCAAATTCATAAAGAGATTAGTTTTCTTTGCATCTTTCTTTGAAAAAAAACAAATTATTCACATAAATTATAAATATATGTACAACATTATATATATCCACTTTTCATTATACAAGTCGCGTAGGACTGGGAGAAGGCGTTCTAATGGCTACAGATGGTAGCGTGTTTGCAGTTGCCGCAGGAGTAGCAACTGCAGCAGGTCGAGGATCTACACTTGCTCTTCTATCTTCTTGAAATTTCTCAACCACTGAGAGAAATTCTGGTTTCCGAGTACCCTTTTTATCAACAAAACACTTGAACGCTCGAGCACCATGTAACGTAGCTAGTTCGTTATCCTTGGAGATGAAAATATACGTTTGATGGTGAAATAATGTGACATAAATAATAACAAATAAATTTGTACTGTATTCATCAAAAAGTCATCAAAATATTGTCAGCCTACTAATGAAATTTACAAATGTTGAATGGTCTTTTTGCACATTTCGAACAATTCTACTGACTAAACCTCAGCTGACATTCAATGATAAACATTTACAATATAACTTTTAAAAAGCTCTTTCCAATAACTATTGGCTATTTACAATGAATATATGGGAATGGAACAAACACATACCAGTTTTTCACTTTCAATCTTCGCTTCAGATAAAGTATTTTCCTGTTGTTTTTTAGGATCCTCTAATGATTCGCCATCTTTCTGCTTCTTCCACGTCTTAGGATTCAGATACCATGCACCATACTTCACTTTCACCCAACTAGGTGTATACGAGGTACGGGTCTGGACAAAAAGTGAAATGACAACAAGTAACTCACTAACCAATGATTGTATTCGCCAAAAAGTCTGTGCACGAAGTTAAGGGGGTTTCAAAAATCCGTTGCCATAGAGATTTTCCCGAATATTTTCGAAATTAATGTATTCATATGGCATTCTTGCCAATCTTGCTCAAAAGTTTAGACACATGTACGGATGATAGTAAAAAACCGCGAGATTTTTAATCTTGTTAAATTCATAACTTTTAACGATACATCAAAAGTTTAGAATTAAATATACCTGTTTTTCTGTTTCGTTGATATCGACATTCTGCTGAAGCGGCGAAGCAGATGCACTGGCATTAACCCGTAATTCAGGAGGTACGTTCGTTAACTCGACAACATGGATAGGAACAGAGAGTGTTGGCTGAAAATAGAAAAAACAAATACATGCAGTCGTACATTATTCTAATTCACAGAGAATTTGGCTCCTTCATAGTCTGCTTTATGTCGTAAAAATTATAGATCATAATTATAGAACTGACAATTTTATGCACGCAAGTAAATTCAATTTCGGTTTCGCGTTTCTTCATGACACGTATACATACTACATATCACTCCCACCCCCGCAAAAAACTAGCAGTTGTAAAGGAAAAAGTTATAAATTGTGTTTAATATATAAATAATGCGTTTCTAAGAATTTTAAAAATATTGAAAGGTTAAAACTTGAAATTTTGTTGTTTATAGGGACCGGTCATAAAGTATCTGCTAGGGTGGGCCGGAGTGATTTGGGATGGGCCATGAAAAATCTTTGGGCAGTTTCGATGGGCCCCAATTTTTTGTGGGTCCATTGTTGGGCCAGCAAACAAAAACCCATGTCTACTTTAAAAAAAAAAAAGTTATAATAAAAGTAAACAAAACTATAAGTATATATTACTATAACAACCTTTGTTTCGTATCCACTAGCGAAAAGGCTCATGACAGTCGATTCTTCGATGTTATTGCTGTCCCCTCCCTAAAAAAAACACAAAACATTTAAACATCAAGAAATGAGAAACCGATTAGAAAGAGAAACTAGAAACCGATTGGAAATGATTCAGATAGCATTAATGCAAACGTACTAAACTTTCAACCCAAGAGCAGAATTCCTTTGTCACATTCTGTATTTTGTCATCCTAAAAATTTCAATGGATTTGAAAACGCACAATATTTTCTTTTCTTGGGAGCGCAGGTAGTTAAGAATTGATGAATATTTCATACCAAGTTCGGAGTCTCTATTTTCTTTCGATTTGACCTCCCTTTTTCTTCCTTTGGTGTTTCGTCCGCCTTTGGCAGCCATCTATAACGATTCTTGTGGTAATCCTGGGCACTAGAAAATCAAAGTTATTATACTGAATCAAGTCTTGATTAATCATTTTCTACAACCAGCGTTGGCACCTCAGCATATATTAACAGTTTCATTTGTGCAACGCCAACGTTCTGCATGTCTGCGAAACTCTCTTAAGAAGAACAGCATACAACAGCAAACAACCCCTGGCCACTGAATTAAGTTCGTTCTTACGGACGCCAAAACACAACAGTTCAGACCTTATTTAAAATAGATAGGGTACACTATCATGCAATACAGACTGCAACTCTCTAAGTCGTCTACGAGGTTCAGATGATTAGTTCATGTTCCCTCAATGGTATAGTGGAATAGCTGTGTAGTCAAATCTAAATCTCGCTTTCGCATGCAACATGATTTGACTGCTTCAACAGCCAATACTAACCTTTTTCTGTCCGTATCTGTTGGAGATAGAGACTAAAACAATATATGACAATAAGTATACATACACTTGCCAAGCTCCATTGTTCATTAGGGAATGAACAAAAATACTACATTTACCATACCTGAACACGACGTGTAGATGTTTTCGTTTGACTTTCATCCAACTCATTGCATGAAATCTGTTCCATCTGTAATTATAATTTGAGAAGGCTTGTAATTGTATTTTAGACAAATGTTGAAATAATGTTCAGTTGTGTTGGAGTTTAGGTGTTAACTAGTGCAAAACAATAAAAACTTGTTTGGTTGTGAGTTGCCTCATTATCGGTTCAGCTAGGTGATATAACTCTAAGTATTTCAGCTGTTTTGAATTACGCCAGTTTAAATTTCCAGGGGCCAAAAATACATTTTCCTTGAAAAATATGAATTTTAAAATATTTAATTTTAGATATTTACTCTATACTTTCTTTAGTTGTTGCATTTCCTCAATTATGCACTAATAAATGTTTTTATATGTATACTGTATACAGTATACACCTCATTTGGGAATATTCATAAGCCAGAGGTTGTTTATAACCATATTCCAAGTGTATTCAATTAAGACAAAAATATTTTTCTCATGTCAGAGAATTGATAATAGAATTTAAAAAAAGGAAAATTGTTTGTAAAAGTAATACAATGTTATACAACATGTTGATAATGCATGATTAAACTTCCGCAGCAATAATACTGAAGAACACTGAAGTGATAGAACACACAGATCTATACGGCTATGAAAATTTAACTTTCATACTACTTCCCTATTTCCATTTATAGCATGCAAATAATCACAAATTAATATATCAAACTAACCAGATCACTTCCTTCCACACTTCCAAGTTGCAGGTCTGGGTCTAAGATATCTACCACATCCTCAAATACCTGAAAAAAAACAAAAAGAAATTTTTATTACTTTTGTACCATCAATCACAGCCTCACAGTGGAGCACTTGCTGGTTCTCCTTTGATTCCCCCTGCATTTGTCTAAAATTTGAATTGTTATAAACATAGGTTCAACATTTAAAATGCATTTTTATTTTATAATAACCATTCAATGTACAATCACAATAATGTTCATTGCTATAGAGAATAGGAGCGTGAGATAGTGTGAGATACTGTGGGTTGGATGATAATTAATCAACACACCTCTGGTGGAACAGAATCCTCAAGATGTGGAAACAATGCCAGTTGATGCTGAAGAAGGCTCATTTCAATATCATCAACATTATCACGTCTTTGCTGTTGCATCGGCAATGTTCTTGAAATAAAGAATAATATACAAAAATTGCCATTGACAGATAACCATTGTCCGTTATCACGCATTTACCTTCCAAGAAAAAACATATCTTGGTGTTGCACTGATAGATGAATAAGAGCCATATTGATATAATATATATACTAACTTAGAATAGACAACTTCGTCCTTTGTGAATCTCTTTTTATCTGTAAGGTTATATTGCATTTCCTCTGAAGTTGAGTTGTTGATATTTGGAGTGATTCCTTTGTATCCCTAAATGGTCGATATTTAATATCAGTTGATATATATGATTTTTCAAATCTAAACAATTAAGATATAAGCATTGGTGTTTACAGGAGAATTCATTTTGTGCTGGAGCAGAATACTAGATTGTTGACAAAGCTGATGACACATTGATATAGTAGCTATAGGATACTTTAGTAAAAAAACTATTTAGTAAAATTGAATGTCAAAGTAAAAATGCATGTAGATGGTTTATTGTTTCAATAGTGTAGGTGAATGAAGGTTTAAAACCAAACATGTTGAAAAATATTCAACCCAGGTACTTTAAATTGGCAGGAGTATGCCTCTTAATTTGATTGCAAATCATGCATGCACTTAATTTATCACTATATGGACCAGCTAGTTTGGGAACTCTTGAACCATATTTGATTATAATAAAGCTATATTTATATAAGCTGCAAATGCTATACTCTTTTGGTATCTTGGGATATAAAAAAGTCACAATCTTTAATATTATTCTTTTCCCCTATAATTTTGTAAACTATTCTATGTTTCCCTGACTATATAGTGAATAGACTTGCTGCATATATTACAAGCTTTATATTATCTGTAGATTGAAAGGTTATTGTGTTTTTGGTTCACTTGAAGCAGACAAAATTGTAATCATCAAGTGATAAACAGAACTGAATAACTTACTTTCAAAACCATCCTGTTGCCAGCAATGTCAGGTGGTATACCATCTCGAAAATCATCTAAACCTTTCTGAACAAATGTCCATGATGACCCAACCAATGTTCCTGAACATTGTTTTGACTTTTGTGGGTTGATGTATTTTGTCTTCAGCCTTTCTCTGTACCTTAAACATAGGTGTGGACTTATATTTATATGGATATTGCCATATAGACCTAGCATACAATATGGTTTCACACTGTAATCTGCTACTCAAAGTGTATAATCTCTATAACTCAGTGGTATAACTTCTGCAGGATTACCATGCTACTGGTACTATCTATTTATACCATAATGCAATGCAAATCGGCCCTTAAAGCTGTAGGGCGAATAGTCGAATACTGGGTACTGTTTAATAAATTTAAACAGTGGGTAAGAAATTTGTTAGCAAGTTTATTGACACCCATGACTGGTTCCATTTAATTTCAATTTCAATGCTGTTGCTGTATGTAGCCAAATAGGTGGTTGTTGTGTCTTGTTGACGTACTGGAAGTCTGGAACTTTGATATACTTTACATGGTATTACGTGCAATAAGAATTACCAAAAATAACCAAGATTACATGAACCTACCAGGGTATTTGCTTCTTACCGCCTTCGCGTTCAGTATTTACAAGTAAAAGGTCGTATTTATGAGCCATTTGGGGTATGAATCCTTCTTCGCGAAATGTTACTAATCTTTAATAATTATAGTTTCTATTGTTTCCATAGAAACACTCCCGACAACCTATGATTGCTGGCGCAAGTACTAAATGTCAACAGTTACCAGGCCCAAAGATGTGCCTTACTATTCGATGGATTTTCAGTTTATAAGTGATTAAAATCAAGTATATTTAAAATTTATCGACATTTTATTTGCTGCATTCATTAATGTAAAAATAAAAACTTTGAAAAAAACTGATTTTCGTTCGTGGAAAGAGGAAAAATAAGCCACCCCCGATGGGACTCGAACCCACAACCTTTGAATTAGAAGTCCAACGCGCTGATCCATTGCGCCACGGGGGTATGCCACAATTATCCCAGTATATTTATTGTATTTATCCTTACATAAAATGCAAAGTTTCTAACATTCATAATCCAAATGCTTGATTAAAAATGAAATCTATTTTCTTCTTCATTATGAAGAAACGCTATCTGGTTGAAAATCAAAATAACAATTTTTCACAAGCTTTCAGCCATCAGTCTATAGCCTTCAACGGCAAGAATACAAATGTGAAAAGGCATGTAATCTACCCGTTGAAGGCACAGTAGTTGTAGGCTATAGATATTCACCATAGAAAGTTTCTTAATAATTGTTTAATAATCCTGGTTGCGCATCTACTATATTTTCGTCCTATTTCTTCTTAGAAAACATTTATCAAAACATTTGAAATAAATGAAAGACCTCAACGGCAGAACTTGTGCACATCAAAATAGATACACCCCCGATGGGACTCGAACCCACAACCTTTGAATTAGAAGTCCAACGCGCTAATCCATTGCGCCACGGGGGTATTACCGGCCCACTTCGCCGGTATAATAATAATAGATCATTTCAAAAACACAATCACCCCCGCTTTTCACCACAATCGCACCACATTGCTCGATGGTACAATGGCAAACGGCTATTTCGTCTCTCCTGTATTAAAAGTGAAAGGGTTATAGGGGGAAAATTTAATTTCTTTTATAGAAATTCACAATAACAACTTTGCACATTTGACCAAATTTTAATAGTCCGGATAGATGGCAATCATCTTATTATAAATAAATATATTGAATATACCTATTTTACAAAACCATTTCTCATATTATGTCGCCAGAAATAAAATAGGTTTAAAATTTATTCCATGTTAATACTTAATATTATTATATACCTCCTGGGCAACAGTGTCAGTGTAGAAATCAACAGAAAAGCACCCTGCCCATTCGTGACTGTTAGTTCTGATATTTACAATATTCACAAATGTAAAAGGCAAAAAGAACTTAAAAGCGTTAAAATAAAGAGAAATATTGAGACAGATATCACGCTTGATCGACCACAAGGATAGTTGGATTCCTGTGAAAGAGAAATTTATAAGTATATAAATAGCAAATGCAACTTCAACTTCCACAGTTTTTAGTTACACTACAAGCGTTTGCTGTCCAAAAAATATTATTTATATAAGTATACAAACTTACCGGATCGTCGGATTTATAGCACCTTGGGATGGTTTTCCGGTGGGGATCTTTGAAACAAACTGATTCCTCCTTTTCAGCATCACTTATCATCTTTGAGCATAGTCATGGATACAATAAATATTCACAAATTTAAGTTTAATTAATATTAAAGCACATGTATAGAAGAACAACTCAAAGTTCTTAATGGTTAAATGTAAAGGATATCTTCTTGATGTACTCCAGGAACACCATCAGAATAACTCTGACCACTCGACGGGCAAAGGCCATCGACAAAAACAAAATAGAGGTTTGTTTTTGGAACTTTAGATATGACAAATGATCGTCGACATGAATTGCTATTACAACTGACATCACAGTTTGCGTAACCTAAAATTTGAGAGAAGAGATGAAGCAAAAAACAACTGAATTTCTGCCAATTCCCTTTCGTCTTTTTTCCTCTTTAGCGATTTAGACCTTTTATAAAGAGACATGTACATTTCATTTTGTATGAAAGCTGTTTTTTCTATCGCTCTATTACAATTATAGTTATTTTCAGGCAAAAAATTAATTATCGCATAAACTTTGTATTAAGCTCTGTTCCTGCCCTCCCCCCGCATTCGAACAGGCTCCGGGTCTCTATCCTATGGAATGGCTTCCTGGAAATTTCAATGCATTAAATATTGTTTTGGTAGAGATTAAATTCCGTTCAAGGCCAGTAATTGAACTGATTAAAACTCACCCTGTTTCGTTGTATTCTCGTTGTTAACTTCTGAGTAGTACGCAGTCATTTTCATAATACAGGTCCTGTTTGCAGGTTTTTCAATTTCTGTCGCTTCAGCTAACATTAACATATGTTAAAATGGTCGTTATTACACAAAACACAAGACGTGGAAACATGTCAATAATGTGGGAACGAGAAAAGCGAAAAACCCTCAAAATGAACTGAAAGATACTTTTAGAACTGCAAAGCTTAAAAAAATATAGCTTCTTAAATTTAGCAAAACATTTTAGAAAAAAAATGCGAATGGAAATTTTCTTCATGTACATTTAACAATCAAAGGTACCTGAGACGGCCATTGGACTGCCATAGATCCAACTGCAAAAGTCGAAGAAAAATAATTTATGATGACATACATAGAAGCGTGACATACGGAACAACACGACTACATGGAACAAAGTTAACTTACTTGTAAACATTCAAATTAGCAACAAACCTGTGGTTAAAGAAAAAAGTAATGAAAAGATTGCAGACTGGGAGCAGAAGCCACCTATAATGAGCAACTTACCAATATGAAATACAAGCTAACTATTAAATATTATAATCAATATATAGAATTAATGAACATGCATGAATAATTTTCAATGCAACAATCAATACACGTCCAACTTGCGTAACTTACCATACAGCCTTAGCGAAGCACCATTTGATGTATGATGTACCGGAGAAAAATGGTCGCAGAAATGGAGCTGAGCTACCCGAACCAGAAGATGGATCCAAACAGCTACCCTGAGGGTCAGTTTTTACAATTCTAATTATAAAATATCCAGAGTGAATTTAATATTATTTTAATCGTGCAAAATTAAAGTATCGTATCATTTTGTAATTGCTGGTGAATATTGAACTAATTTACATCTAGACTATCCAATTTCTATTTTATACATGTATCATTACCGTTCATAGATGAGTGTGTCGCCTTCTGTCAGTTGTTTCATAACTTTACTATTAACACTCCCAAAGAATTGTCCAGTTACTCTCTAAAACAGATAAACACAAACATTGCCTTGACGTTGATGATTAATGGCACATTTTCAAAACACACCGAATAATTCCGTGAAATTCTGTGACATGTGGGAACATTCTTTAGGACAAGACTTTACTGGACTCGAAAATTCTTGGCTCGAAAAAATCTTTCAAAAACGACCGATAAAGATGACGTTAAATAAGGATGACGTCAGTCAAAGGGGGTATATAATGTAAAAATCAAAAGAAAAAAATTATACACAATTACCTCAGAGTCTACACTGGCTGCGACTACAAAAGCATTCTCATCGAGGAGATAGCAATAATAACTTTCCTCCTACAAGAAAGAAAGATAAATTGGGTAAAAACGTTCTGTAGTTGTAAAACATTTTCGCGTTGTTAATTAATAACACAACAACAAAAAACAAACAAAGAACTTCGCGTTAGTTGTTGTGTAGACACAATGATTTGGGGTATCAAAAATATTTAAAATTATAATTCACTCCCTATTTCGCAGATGGTTGACGAATTAATAGTGAATGAAATGGCTACGAGGTTAAAAAAACTTAACAGTTGATCTCTGTACCTTGTCATCTGTCGCATTGCAGAGTTGACTAATTCCCTAAATTACAGAAAGTCTGTCACACTCGTATTAGGCATGACAGGTTTTTCTATAATCGACCGGTTTTCATGCATTTTTGAAATATGTTTACAGGTATATACAGTCTCTAAACTTAGCTAGCAGTTGAATGCCGGGGTTGTATTTTTTGCAACCTTCCAGGTTTAGACCTAAAATTTATAATACTCTAATCCTATATATCCTTAAATAAAAAACAAGAGCCTTAGTGCTAAGTAAGTAAGTAAGTTAACTTCACTGATACATCCATGCTCCATAACTACCTGAACTGATGCGTCGGTAAAAAAATCATTTTGAAACTGCGAATGATTCATGGTAAAACCAACAACTACAAGGTAGAATTAAGTTATCACAATTAAATTTCATTTAGGCTATACATGCGGTGTATCAATTTTCATGATAAAAGCTTGTGTATAACTATGCCTAAACCAACCATGCATGCACGCGCGTGTTTAATCACAGTGATCACGCATGCCCAATCACATCACAGTGAGCTCACCTCCGACAGTTACAAAGGTTCCTGAAACATTGGTAGCCATCTTTCTGTAGCCAGTTACTTTTACATCTTCAGCGCTTCCTTTCCCTATAAATTTTTAATATTCAACAATGAAGGCCATCATGCTTCGCCAGATTTATGGCAAAGTGCAAGAAAATACTTGCAAATGATTCACGCAGGTCTTAAAGTATTTAAAAAATGGGTAAGGTCGATCTATCCGATGAAAATTTTGATTGACTTTTTAAAATTTCGATTGACTTTCGCTGCTCAACATTTATAGCAATCATATACAAATTATTTGGCTTTGCACATGCATGCACACCATTCTAAGAACTATATCACGATTGGAAAAACACAAGGACCATGCCAACTTCCGTCGCAGGGCACGTTCTCTACGAAAGACCCTTGCATGGTACGGGGTTGGAAACCATGCATTGAAAGAACTATATATCAAAAGAATACCTGAATTATAAGGCACAGTTAATATAGTTATATCGTTAGGATAATTATCAACACGACCAATGATTTTCTTTTCTGGTGTAAAGACTGAATCAGGTCTAAATGAATTAACACACAAGAAATATTACTGCATGCACGCGCAAGGCGCAATATGCATACTCTGCGTTTATTGCCAGACTTTATAATCGCTGTGGCTGGTTAGTCATTTTCGCGCCAATTTCCGAGTAAATGTCGGAGTTTCAACTCGAGATTTATTGATCTCGTACTTAAACTTAACGACTACAGCTTGTTTTGCAACATATTATTAGCAAACCACAAACGAACGGGTGCTGTACTATTACTGCTAAAATTACTGTTTTTGTACACAAAACAAAAATTAACCATAACCCTACTAATTCAGGATAATTATTGAGATCATACAGTATACTTAGACACATACAGTATACTTACTTTGAAATGTTAAAAGAACCATCATACATTTTAACAAATGTTTCCACGTCTCTGTCAATTCAATAAGACATACAATTAACCTTGGCATATTGTAGCTGGTCGGTTAAGCCGGTCGTATAGCGTCTGCTGAAGTTTGGCAAGTGCCGCTGATCCTGATTAAATTTTAACTCACCGTTTTAGGCTACGTTGCTAGCATTAAAATTCACGGTCAGCGGTATCGCATTAAAATTCACAGGCACAGCGGAAATACTGGGTGTATGATCTAAAGTCGATCATGATTGGTTTCCTGCGTGTATATTAGCACGGGATGTGGATGTCATATTTCAAATTACGCCTTCAGAATATATTAATGATCATCGTGCAAAGATAGTGGCATTTGCGTTCGTTTTCATTTACCGAATGGCAACAGCATACAATAATTATTACCGCAATGCAGTGCATTAATTGCCTCTATCACTCTGACCGCGATAAAGAAAAAGCCTCGATCTTTTTTGTACCTATTACTGTATATGTATGTACAGAATGAAAACTGCGTACTTAAAAAGACTCACCCAGGCACATTTTTCTGCCAATAATCTAGTAAATATTTGATCACCGTTTCCATTATTTTTGGGTCACCTATAAGAAAAAGTATTGAGATCATACCACTCATGGAAATTATATCACTCAGCCAAAGAGATGACAGCGGCTTCACACGATCCGATGTTTTGTATTGCATATAGCTACCTGGCACTATTTCAACAGTTTTGGAAGGGAATGCAATACCAGCCCTACAATAAAACAGTAACTGTCTTAAAATTTATGCCAAACTGAGGGGACCTAAGCTTATTGCGTGCAGTATTCAAGAAACCACGAAGAGAGAACAAGCAGTGGTTGAAACAATGAAAAAACGGGCGAAACAAAAGTATAATAAACTGAAGTGAACAAAACATACCAGACAGGAGCGTCTTTAATTTTTGTATAACAATACTTCATATTCCTTTTCGTCACTCGTAATTTTAGCTGTAAAACAATCACTTTTGAGATGATATGGAAAGTTGAGATTAGAAGTTACACTCGACTTGTGCACGTCTTTGTGAAATGTATTCGACACATTCATATGTGCAGAAACACTGTTCTGCATTCCTTAACTGGTCTGTGCAATGATGAAACAGCACCTTACCTCATCACTTGAGAACATTGCAGCGTCAAAAGTCATCGTTCCTACTTCGCCTTCCTTCGTATCAAGCATATTCTTACGTAACTATGCACAAATTTTACTATTTTTGAGTATACTTGAAATGATATATTGGAGAAAGAGATAGCCTGGGTGGCGCTTTGTAATTAATTACACTAAAGAAGCCATATCTTATTTAAATAGCGTTTTCTGGACGCAACAATGTCTTATAATGTGTTATGTTTTCTGTCTATAAAATAAATGTTGCCATTCTTCTTGTCTCTTCAATGAAGGATTTACGTTGGCTTAATCCAGGACTTTGGGAAATTTATATACAGAAATATCCTATAAATGATCACCTTATCCGGTGAAGTACTGTTAACATCCCAAGTGTACTCAATGTCTGAAATATACACATCAGGTGGGTCTGGCAGGTAACCACGCTAAGAGAAAATAGAAGCAAAGTTGGATATATCTTTGTTAAGCTACAAAAACAAGACTTGTTCATGCAGTCTTGTATGCTTTTACCGGGCCAGCATGTAGCGATATGAAAACATCTCTTATGAAGACTGTACTTACGTGTGTTTCAAATGCCGGGTGTTTAATAACGTGGCCGTTGTTACTGATCACGAAGAGATAACCATCATCACCAAGCTGAATGTAAATATCATGACACAACATCTCATAAAACGTTACACGTTAGAAAAGCATAATTTTAGATTAGCGTTGCATGGGTAATCAAAGCATGCTAGAAAATTTCGCAGCTAAAACATGCTGGAACATTTCCACACATTTTGGGCAGTTGTGAAACGTGAACAATGAAAGGAGATAACCTCCCAACTTTTGGAGTAAGAAATTATAACCCTGGGTACGAAGTTTTAAATTATCAGGCAAAAAAATTCATATAATGACTGTTAAAATAGGCATACCGATGTTAATAACGATGATGACATTTCATCGATATCTTTCAAAGTAACATCCGTTCCAACCACACCGAGTATTTCACGACCACCCTTTAAACAGTGAAAGAAAAACCACAGTATAAAATAGAGATACTGTATGCATGACGAGATTGCCTGCAATTAGTTTTTATGCTTACTGTTTTGTTTGTTCGTCCAAATGCTGGGAGAGTTCCAGTTATCATCATCCCTAGAGGCTGAAAGACAAAAAATATGATCATCATGCAAGCGAGGCAGCTTGACACTGAACTCAGTTGGATGGCTGACTATACCTTTCTCGTCGGTGCAAAGTGAAGAATGATGTTGGGCAAGAATTCCAAAAAGAAAACAGTATTCAACATTTTAACTTACCCCGGAATCGACGTATACACTACTCCAAACAGGTTTATGTTCTTTTTCTTTTGCCATTGGTCGACTTAATACAGTCACATAGCCCTTAATGATAAACAAAACCAACCACTTAAAATAAACCGATTAAAATCAACAGCGTAATGGACTTTTTTATGTATGTTCGATTATTTAGTGAAGTGATCGAGTGAGAGTTGAGTGAATATGCAAAATGAGTGTCTTTGTAATTAATTAATGTATGTAATTAGTGTATTAATTAATATATATGTAATTCACGTTTTTGGGGGTAGTTTGGAGGTTTTTGAATTGCAATCAGAAAAATGTCAAGGTACTCTCAATCTTGCACTAAAAAAATTTGTAATACTTGATTTCTTCTTCATTTTTTCACTTTTTTACGATCAAAAATGAAAATTGAAAACATCAATTCTTCACTTGGTAAAATATACGAACCTTTACCACATCTCTTACTGATCCCACGCCAGGTATACGGTAGAAAAAACCTTGAATGAAAATATAATTCGAGATCGAAATAAAGCTTTAGAGGTTGAGAACTTAGATAAGTCTAAACAACATAGGACTGCCAGAAATTCGATTTCCCGAACATGGAAATTGTGTAAAGGCCTCACAGTTCGAGGTTTTCGAAAGTAAAAATCGGGTACATATGGAGCATGTGAAGTAATAATATATGGAAAACAGGAATATTACAGGCTTTGTATACTTTACCTCTGTTGTCACAAGCAATTGATCTTAAAGCTTCTACACTGTGTGCTGGAGGACCAACAGCATATGTAAACACACGGACCTTAACAATATTATTACAGAATGATTCACATATCATTCTCCTAATTTTAGAAAACCAATTACAATTAAACCGGAAGCTAATAAAAATATTAAAATAGACACGATTTTGTGAACTAAAAAAGTACTTGGACCTAGATTGCCTGGGCATTACTGATTACACCAGATATTGTGTTTGCTGGGTATTATGTTTTGTGTAAACACACACTATATAACATGTTTATACATATTCACATGCAATGCATCACATAAAATTGAATAACCAAACCTCTTTTTTGCTGTTGTAAGTTTCAAAAACACCCTCAGCTCGTTCTGTTGGTCCATCTGTAAAAACAGCCATTACTTTTTGACAACCAGCACCCACATCCTTCGGCTTAAAAAACAGCCAATCAAAGACGTTGAATATTTCATATAGACATGATGTCAATCATCCATGAACAAAATAACTAGCAGACAAACGAGCACAACAACGTCAAGAAAGTTTTCTGCATGTGGATGAATAGTGCATGTATCTTGTTCAGCACAGTACTAGTTCTGTTGTTATATGTGAAAACTATGATACAGTTCATTGGCTCGCATCATTACCTGGCAATATTTTACGCTACACTGGTTTACCCGCCATAACTCTGGACGGTCGATTGCATAGATACTGGAGACACGTTGTAATGAATCAGTCATGCATCCAAACGATGAACAAACATTATGTATATAGGCTTACCTCAAACATTTTAAACGCCGCCTCGTAGGCTTTTGGCCACGAAGCAACATAGCTAGCCTCAATTTCTTTCAACTTGTTCTTGTAGTACTAAACATAAATAACATTACAACTTACCCAACCATGCAGACCATGCTTGATCACGTTTAAAAAAAGTGCAAAAAATATAAAAATTACTTCTCTATTTTGTGAGGTTGCTTGAACAAATTTCTTCCCACATGCCAAGTAGTTAACTTCAATATTAAACTAGAAAGAGAGAAAACAAATGAAAATGGCTTTTAACAAATATCCCTTTCCATTTATATATGCCACAATACTAGTGTGTTTATTTAAACTGTATAAGGGCTGTAGATGAGAAAAAGTTAGCATTACAGAAAAAATAACATCGCTTTGGACGTACCCAAATAACATTAAAGAAGTCATTTTCGGAAAACGTGTCAATAAGTTCAGATACAGCTAGTCTTGCTATCAACAATGGCCTGCCATACATACTGCCACTACTGTAATAGAAAATAAAGACTTGCGTGCAATGAATATTTTTCCCCAGCGCATATACTGTACTTAATCATATTGAAGTAAGAGACATGATTGCATGTCAAAGCAATGATTTGTCAGAGCATTATTATAGAGGATTATATCGCGAATTACTTGCGAGTGAAATTTGCTATATTTCAGGAGGGGTTTATTAATGTTGTATTTCTAAAATCAAGTTTCGTGAAATTTACCTGTCCACAATAATGACAACTGATTTTGGTGATGCTGAACCATGAATGTACCTGTGAAAAAAACAAATTTTCAATACAAACTCTCCTGTCCTGGCGCAATTCAACAGTAAAACGTCTTACAATATGGATGATTTAATCTCGCGACAAATCTATAAGAAAAGTATACCATGGTCGTTTCCTAACATCGTAAAGATCAATTCCTTTCGGTCCCACATCAAAACTAGCACCTATAAGAAAAATATATAGTTAGAAATGCAACGCCTCAGAACTTAGTGGTTCGACCATGCAACAGGGTGTATTGATGTAGTTTTATTTACCATATTTCTAAATACAGGATTACGAAGGGAAGCCATGAAGAGAGCTAATGACAATGAACTAATGGGAAGAGAAAACCTTTTAACTTGCTGTACAAGGATTTATTTCGCAATGAAACTAAATCCAATGTGCTGCAATGTGGGACCACACCCACCCGAAAAAGGGGCCCAATCCAAATCTCGTTCCGACAGGCTTGATATATAGATAAATTTCAGCAGTTATAGACAACAATCAAGTCTCAGCCTGTTCACCAAAATACGAATCTCAAAACTGAAATGTTTAAAATGTTTTACACTTATTAGAGTATCTCCCGGCCATCCATGGCCTCCTCCTTTCATTATCGTGTGTGATTCATACCTGGGTATGTTCGAAGAACTCCAGTTTCACTTCCAAAATGTTGCCATTTTAAACTATCGTCATCCTTGGTGTTGTTCCTGAAGACTTCGTCTAATGCTTCGGTCCATTTAATCACATTTAAAATTTCTGGAGCTAAGGATGAACAGAATCACGATCATATAATAAACCTTATAATCCTTAATATAAGCCTATATAAGCCTTTGATCGATCATAGTGTTTTACAGACAATAAAACCGACAGAAGCTTTAGTGCATCACATCCAAGTGGTCTGAAAGGGAGGGAAAGGTCTGGGACTAGTTGTCAAAAAAATCCACTTCTCGGAGTGATATATGTATGTACTTTATTACGGTTTTAAATTAATGTCAGAGCTATAGTTCTTATAACTAAACATAATCACGAAATTAATTCGCCTAGTTTCATAGAGAATAATAAAAGATATAATCGATTAATACTGCAGAATGGATTTTTTATTGGACAAGCCTTCTGAGCGCTAATGGTTAAAATATAAGCGCGAGATCACTTGGATTGTAACACTGGAAAAAATTTGTAAAAACGAAGAAATTGTATGATTGTCCATGATAATTGGATATTTCCAAACAAAATATTTCTTTATTGATAAGATTGTTTTAAAAAATGGCCAAGTTTCGCATGTTTTAAAATGTAAAAACATTAGGCGTTCAATTACTATCATGCACGGCCTGTTTAACAATAGCCTGATAATGCATGTAGTTGACTAATATTCACATATATATTTCCATTCAGTGCAGTTTCTCCGGGAAGCGGAGAACCGAAATCTCACCTTTTTCATAAATATCCGTAGGGACATGAATTCCACTGATCTTATATGAGATGTTTAACTGAAACACTGGATTGTAGGTAAGATTATGCTGGGCCAAACTTGCCGGGTCTTTCACGTCAAGATAATCAAATGGCTAAAAACACGCAATCAAATAGCATTTTTGTCCATGTTCGGTTAAGTACCCGGTCATACAGTAAGATCTAGCCATCATGCAAAGTCAAGGCATGGAAGCGTTGAAATATGTCCAAATGAACAAGAATAATTTTAAGCAAACCTCGATATTCTCGTCATATTTATAAGTGTCTTGCACCTCTTCGATTTTTGCGACTAGATTCTGGAAAAAACATGCAAATTTAAAAATAAATTTTAAAAACTAATAAAAAAATGTAGTTACTTTAAAAATGGGCAACAGCCGAAAGCGTTACGGTAATCACAAAATGCTTACCCAGGTATGCACACATACATACGGCCATTAGAGGTTATGAGTATGGACAACATGCAGAATGTTTTCCCTTGTGGCATGCTTCAACCAAGTGTAATTAAACGCTCTCGTAAACAAATGCAACGGAAATACATGTGATGTCCGATATATTTGATGACATGACATATATATATTCTCATATCTGTATACTTATTGTATATATATGTATATCTCGTTTTCCGTGTGTGCTGTATGCATACAGATAATGGTCTAATAACGTCTAATAACGTCTAATACGTCATTGAAAATGTCAGCCTGATATTATCGCTATATGTCGTTGATGAAATAACTTAACTATGGCCAAATAGGAGTTGGCTTTCGCAAATCTCGCGATAATATCAGCATGAGAGTTTTAATGGGGTGTATCCGCCATTAAAACAAATTAACATATGGAACATACACGAAAATTTTCCTGATGTAAATTTGTCGTCATCTTTCCAATTGAAATCAGTTTAGACGAGCATATAGCGAGGCATCCCATCAACGGTATAGATTGATCTTGACATGCATGCAATTAACCATAATTATGTAAAAATATACTCTAGCATTTTTAAAATATACTTTAAAGCACTTTAAAAATGGGCTTCCCTAATAAAATTTTCATCATGCAATCGAAGTTTTATGCTATTTTTTATGAAAGCTATTTTTCACGCCTTTCACGGTCTTATATTGAGCACGTGAAATCGTATGCGGGCTACATCAATATTTACATTTAAAACATGGCCTGACACATGCATTTATATTTATATAGTCACTAATGCAGGTGGTACGTAGCTAAATAATATTTCAAAACTCCTCTTGCATTATATAAACTTATTATTAATAATTGATGATCAAAAAGTTGAGCTTAATATTAATAATTGATCATCAAAAAGTTGAGTTTCAACATTTCGAGAAAATTTTTTCAACATCGCCCTCCTGGAGAGTGGAGAAAAGTTAGTCATTAGTCAAAGCATATTTTAGTCCTTTTATTTTTTTCAGGACAGCTATATGCAAATTATCTCTAGAAGCCCTGCACAAAGGGTTTGGCTTCCTAAAACAGCCAAACGGAATAAACCATGCAAATCAAAGAGCTAATCGTTTTCTCACGCAAGTTGTAATTTACTTGTGTTTATTGGCCGTCTTATTGTCATTTTTCTATGCCCAAATTTCAATTCATGGTCTGACACCTAAAATATATATCATTCATCTTTTCATAGCATAGGCACCTAAAGGCCCGTTTACACTTGTGATTTTTTCAGCGATTTTACGTGAGATTTCAAGTTAAGAATGTTCTGGTGTGTACGAGCTCCTACGAACATTCATAACTAATTGACTCTTTCGGATCCATCAAAAAGAGAAAATCGCACATAAAATCGCAGTATGCATGCATTTTTTTTGTTTTAATATGATGATGTTTTGGCTATGATAAAAAGCGCATAGATATATATTGTCATTGTCATACGTATTGTCATACTGCAGTGCACCCTGCTAGAGAGACTCAGAGTGTTAATATGGTCATAGACATAGTGAAACCATCTGGCTTAAGGCCTGAGATATGTTGAAGTGCACCAGCTGGACCCAAAAAATGTATAATGCTTGGTTACAAATAAGTCTAAAGATTATATTATGTAACAACAGCAAAAATATAAATGGCAATTACCTTCACACAAAGGACAGATAATTACCTTAGTATAAAACCTTACACAAAAAATCTTAATAGGAATTTATTAGTTTGCTGCCCGGGAGGAATAATTAAATGGAGATAGCTCACAAGCCTAACCGATGTTGCTCTTATTCATGCCTTTTATATCTATATAGCTACAAAATTACATTCAAGTTGTATCATGATTAAGGCACTATAAAGCAATTGGCATTCTATCCTTAAGGTAATCAAGACAGCAGAAGTGGAAGTAAAACAGATCGGGAACAGTGAAACAGATACTGGAAAATCCGCTGGTGATTAATATTTACTTTTCCGGATTGTGTAAGCCTTCCATTAAAATTGTGTGTAATTAAATTTTTAAATTTTATTAAATAATATTAAATTTTTGTTTCTTCATTTACTTCTGTACAAGATAACTTCAAAAACACTTCCACCCAATTGAATTAAAATTTGCCTATCTGATGAGTAGTGCTTTCTTGTCTCCATTCAACCTGCATTAATACACTTATATATATCATCTGGCATTCTGTAAGCCTAAATTATCATAATTTCGGCATTGGTAACTAATTAGTACAGCTTTGGGGATCTCTAAATATGAATTATGCAAAAACATTTAACAAGACAAAGAGTGGGAACATCTTGCAGGCCAATATTGCCTGAAATGGCATGTAAAATTTATGTGACAAGCAAACCTATCTTGCATCTACAAACAAACACTACTCAAATTGCTGTGTGTATAAAAAACTGTGAAGTAAACAATGCGCAATCTAGATGTATCAAGGGCTATAGTTTTCATTGTCAAAGGGGAAAATACTGGATCTTATAATTATACATACTGTATCTAGAATTCACTGTATTTAAATAATTCTGAACTAATTACTAAAATGCTGAGAGTTAGGGACCAATTGATTTTTAGGCATTAAGCAAATTATATCAGATGAAAACCTAAGAATTGATAACTTCTTAGTAAATAATGTGAAAAACATTTGTTTCTTAAAATATTTTATCTCTAATTTCTTTAACTTTTAATTTTTTAAGTTTGCAGGCATTTTAATTAAAAGGAAATTAAGAAGGTTGTTATGAAAAGTTATACCAGGCTCCTCTAAAATGAAATATTTCTGATTGTCTAGACATATTAAAACCAAAGTATACTGATTTATTTGACTTGATTTTCAAATTCCCATATTCTGATATTCATGCATATGTGAAACTAATTGCGTCAATGATGCATCATCGGGAGCTATTTCCAGATCAATGACTTCGGTTATATCACAACATAAATATTAATAACCGAACACTTTGTGCAAATTTAGGAAACATAATAATTTATTAATAATAATGTAGAGCTAAAAGTTACTTATTTGAGGGATAATTTTTAAAAGTTTATTCAAATGTAATAAGATCTCGTTTTATCAGTAAAAACAATTGTGCAGGTATTGAAGTTTTCATATTTTCGATGTCAAATAATGCAAAGAATCTTTTAATATGAATACAAATTTCAAATTAAATCAGTGAATGGTGCCGATATTACTTCAGAATGTAACATTTTAATAAAAATAAATTAAAAGCCAATGGAAGTTTTCAACCCAACAGAGAATGGGTAGAATATTTAAATAAACAAGCGACAAGCTTTTACAACTTTAAAGCTTGTGTTTTTAACAGATGTATACTGCTAACTTCAACCTCGATTCGACAATCAGGCCGGTTTTCAAACAGCTGGCAGGAGATTGTCATGTTTGTTTCCGGCAACAAAAATTTACTGCAGCGTATATAAATGGCTACGTACCCGCAAAGAATCGATTTTTTTATTGAAATAGCTATGCATCTTTTCGCTGACTTCTTTCACAACTCTTGTCCCGTTGTTGTCTCTCGCAGTCAACCCTAACATTTCCAATTCCTAAAAGTGCAAATATATATGAATTGCACGGAAGAAAGCTTTAAAGTCGTTCATGCATTTCTCACTATATTTAAATGCGTGTCGCTTGGTGAGATTTTTTAAAAAATATATTTGTACTGTATTTGCCATTCTGTCTATAAATGACCGGCAAAGTTAATATATAAACGCATGACACTTATGATTTTTAATACTCAGAGTTTATACCTTTTTTACAGCTGTAGAACCAGTTGAACGAACAGAAAATTCGTGAATCTTTGCTCCAATGCTGTGTGCAATCTCTTCAACGCTGGAAATACAAACGTGATACTGTTGTTAAAAGAAATACAAGTTCAAATACTGTAATCCAAATTTAAATAGCAGCAAACAGCAAACAGCGCCTTCATGTGTGTTTATAGTGTGTGTATGTGTGTGCGCTACTTACTCCACAGATTGAGCATATCCGACACAAAAACGAAATCTAAGAACAGCTAGGCCCAGTAGGAAGACAAATTGACACGGAATTAAGCTACCACCTTTCATTTCCCAACGGACTAAACAACATCACTTCGCGATCGGCTGTCAAATGTCTACTCGCCGTCTGAAATGAACAGCGCGAGAAATGCTGAACAAGGTAAATGCTCGTACTAGTCTTCACATTACAAACCTCGCGCTGCGTGGCCACATCCGCGATACGATTACCGGATATTTTACCGGATTATTTTCGTGTTTTCGAGCTCGCACGATCACGATATAACACACTATTACCGGTCCAACGGCCCACGGGCCCAGTACAGAATCAAGAAAGATTTTAAAACAACAGACTTGTTGTCTCCTAAAGTTCATTCGATATATTCGTTTTTATTGCAATATGTGAAATGTAAACGGGAAATAAGCAAATATCTAGCAATTTGCATACTTTATAAGTGTTTGAATGACAATAACATCTCACTATGACATTTGTTGATTTTGTAGATAGTTACACGCAAAAACGTTATCTGCATGGCAACTAGAAAGCACGTCGCCCTATTTTGGGTTTAAGACATTCGTAATCTTCCCAAATAATTTATATTTTGAGAAGAACGGGACCTACCCAGACATTCAGTGCCAGGGCTACATAATTATACATAATGCTAGATGGAACACCTGCCAACTGAATTCTAAAAGATTTGTAGACGCACGCTGATTGCTGGCTGTTTGTGAGAATTGTCCTACGGACTAACCACGGCGCTTGCTGAGTTTCTTACCTCATTTATTTATCAGTAAAGAGGAACGAATGCCGACAATCGTACGTTATTTATCATTACTCCGGCGTCAGCGACGGAGTTGAAAATTCGCCCCGGTTTTGTTTTGTTTTTGTTTTTTTTTTTTTATTTTTTTTTTTATTATTTTTCGTCGTCGCAAGTCTGTAATGGCGCGAAATATACTAGTATTTGAATAGTGTATGTGATCGTATTTATCTACGTCCCAGTCTTATCTCCCAAGAGTTGTGGTGCACAGCTTTGGCTAATTTTCCAATGCGCGATTCGATTTCGCTCGCATGATATGGCAATTCCTCCAAGAGGAACAAATAAACCGTTCTTTTTATGCTGTTCGATTAAGTTTAGATTGAATTGGGGTAAGAATATATTTAATACATGTAGACTCGGTCCTATTTTAATAATATCGCTGCTATTTCGCCGTTTAACAAGATGATGTGGTCGTGTATGGGCGCGTTGACACGTCGCGTAGTTTGCACAGGATCGAAGATTTAATACAACTATATATAAGCGCGAATTCCAAAGGCAAAGTGTAAGACGAAGCGAATGTATCATGCGGTTTATTTACATTTTTGAACAATTGAACTTCTATACTGCGATGTGCTTCTGAATTTTGCGATCGAACATTTAGGTTCGCAAGGCATCTAAATGCGAATATGTATGCGAAACAATACGCGAACTGTATTGTTTATGTTCAGAAGCTCTATATTGAAGACTGGCACGTGCGCCGGAGTTAACGCCAGAACGGCGTCTTGTTTCATGAGTTTTGGGCTCGTGTAGATTGAGTTGATTAGAAAAGCAAATTATAAGAATACATCTGATAATTGTCGCGGGTCTCAAGTAAGATTTCACCAGGGCCGAAAAATTAGAGGAGATACACCCCTCTATATGGAAAGCCATACCCGTCTTTTAACAGTTTCAGTCGGTGCTGTGGGTGCTTCATAATATTACATACGCAGTATACGCAGTGCTTCGAACATAGGATGAGATGAGTAATTAGCATAAGGAATTTAGGATCTGTAACCTGCGATCAGGCTTTTAGGATCTGTGATGTCTGTGACCACTGGGTCTGTGACACAGGCGTACTAAATTTATTTGGGGGGAGGCATGATGCCAGTGTGTTTGGACAACGAAGGGTGAAGGTAAAATACTTCATATCTTCAAAAATATACCTTGTTCACTCAATTTACATGTTTAGCGACAGGAAAAAACAGCCGGTTGAAAAACAGCGCTAGAGTATCCGGCTTATACCGTTTAAATTAATTTGTGCACGTGATTAAAGCTTATCAGCTGGAAGGTCGATCAGGAATTGACAAAAACACTACTTTGACAAGCCAAACGCCACCTGCTCCTGAAGTGTCTATATGCCAAATTTGCTTTTGAATTTATTCAGCGATTAGTCATTCCCCAATCGAGCAGGGCACTGGGTCTAGTCGCCAACCGCAAAGCATCTATGGACTGTTTGGAGGGACAGGAAATATAAGTCTGAAATGATTTGTCCCTCCAGACAGTCCATAGATGCTTTGCGGTTCGCGACTAGACCCAGTACCCTGCTCGATTGGGAAAGGGCTTATTAACATTCAATTCAGATTCAAATCGATTTTATCTAATCACAGGATTGTATCCAATCACAGAATTGAGAACATCTCATTTATCTTAACAACAACGTCACAAAATCTGGCTAAAGATTTAGCATAACGATCTCGTGGTGGAATCTATTCATGTCTAAGGCCCCATGCTGTGGTATTAAAAACAGTAAGTTCCCCCCAAGATACTTTAACAGATACAGTTTATAGTTTTTGCAGTTTATTTTCCCAATCCCGGACTTGATGAGGGAGGGAAAAATAGTTGCACCAAAGTTTAAGGAGAGCCCCAAGGTGTCAATATGAATAAGTGAATAGGGTATATACATAAAATGTAACTAATTGTGTCCATATACTTAGAAAAGCGCTCAGGACTGGATTATTTTAACGCTTCTTGTACAGTGCAGGCAGTTGATTACATCACGCTAGTGATGCTACCATTTTGTTTTTAAGTTTTTTACCTTGACGATGTGTATAATTATGAATTTCAGGCAAAACTACGAGCAGACACTCAGAAAGAAGTATATTGATTTGATTAAAAAACACTAGCTTTCTGCATAGAATCTATTGTACATCTAGAATGAACGATAAATTACATATATATTAATGTAATGTGTGATATATCTTTATTGTAATTTACAAGAAAACAATCCTTTTTGGTATTAACCACAGACACTCAATTAACGACTTTAATCTTTCTGCTCCACGTCTACTGCTGAATAATATACAAAGAGTAGTTCATATTGATCCTAAACCAGGCCTATTATCTACCCCGTATAAACAAGTAGCATTGTATCGAGAAATAGTTGGCACTGATTCTGTTTTGTTTGTGGTAGCTGGCATGATCGTAGTTGGACTGAAAGCTTGTTGAGTGTTTCCTACAAACGATGCAGGATGTTTGTATAGCCCTGGCAATGAGGAATTATATTGATTTTGATAGCCATAGGACTGTTGATATGTTGGTAGATTACCCTGTTGACTTGGTAAGCCGAGGAATGTGCTTTCTGTTGATGGACTAAAGCACATTGCTGACGAGTTATAGCTAGGCGGGTTCACTTGAGTTCCGGCACGTGGCTGGTTTAGTGGTGAGAAATTATTGTTGTAGCCTGTTGTTGTCTGGTTTAAGGATCCAAAACTGTTCGGGGACGTTTTGTTCCACGTATAATTTGGATAGAAGAACGGATCATCAGCAGGCATAGTTCCCGGGTCACAATTAAACGTGGCGGTAGGGAATACAGCAGCTCTGGTGTCCGGACCCAAGCTGGCAACTGTTGCCTGATTATTCCTCTCCTTCTTACGCCATTTTGCACGTCTGTTTTTAAACCAAACCTGGAAAATATTCATCAAAAAGATCTGAAGATGTCAAACATTGGCATGTGGGGCCAAAGATCTATATATATTACTCCACAATGCTGGCTGTAAGCGAAAAATCTTCGACATCGCACGCAAGTTTGCTTGGCTTTAGCTAAAATCACGTTTGAGTTGTGGCATTTACAATGGCCATCTTGACTAGATTTCGCGGTAACCAAGCCAAAGATTATTTAAAATTGACATTCGTGTAGTTCGTCGAGCCTGGGTAAAGTCCCAAAGATATTTGATGCGTAATTACATCTACCTCACACTCACAGTACAGTACATTCTAATGATAATTATGAGAACCCAACACTTAAATTAAAATGATTATATAGGCTTTTGCTGTTTCATCTTTAATATCTTTAGACTGAAATCACTGAATATCATAATCGAAACTGATTTAATTATGGAATGCAATAGTGCGCATACTGGTATACGGTATCCATGCATGCAAACCCCTCGTTGCTAGAGATCAGAATTACATGCACTATTTGTTAACATTATTCGCTTCGGAGAAAACGTCATCGAGGAAAACACTCGTAACTCGGCGTTCTTCGCGATGATTCTGCGTTAAATTGTTTTTCGCCTTATTGCATGCAAAGTATCGTTTTGTTGTGCACTTATGTATAAATAAATGTAACTCACAAATTTGTGAGTTACCGAGTATATATATGGCCTGGACATGGTTTACACTGTCAACGTCTGAAGTGTTTCAGTTTGTGATCAGTCACATGCAGTTAGAGTTTTCAAGTGGTAAGTTTTAAAAGAAATTGTACCAAATATTATAACTAAAAAACTCAGTTTTAATGTGAAACCTTAAACTATGAAATTTCAACCGTTATCACAGAAACTTTGACAGTGTAAACTAGGCACGAGTATAGAAGTATATATATTGTAAAAATATCACATATACTATAGTTTGTATATATTAATGGAGTAAAAAAGTTGTGAATGTACTTAACGCTTGTTAAGTAAAAGTAAAAATATTATCTTAAAACTTACTTAGCCTTTCTGTAAACGAAATTTTTCTAAGTAAAACTAAAAGTATTGCTAGCAAATTTGAAAATAATAATGACATTTGATAACGCAAGTATACAACGCTTTTACTCATAAACAAAAGTACAAACCCTTAAACATGTGAAATTAAAAATATACTATAGGTTTTATTCATAAAAAAGGAGTATAGTCTGCATGACTATAGATTATGGTGCTCGTTTTTAAGTCGCTTGCTCTTTCACTTGACACGCTAGAAAGAACTCTCCATCTACCGGCTATAAATTTCCTATCACAACTATTAGGTGTTTAAACTGAAGATTTCGTGCGACAAATAATCAAAAATATATAATTTTAAATATCCTATAACTATCCTATCAATATCATTGTTCAGTGCAGTGTTGCTAAATTCTATGTTAAGTTGTTAACCTCACAGTATTAAAACTCTTCTAATACTTTTTTGCATGCATGACAAACTCTGCTGAGCATGCAATGGCAATGCATTCTGATACTACGTACTGCATAAAAAATTCTTCTGGAATTCTGACGATGATCGTACAGTTAGGCTACTCATTTACTCTAATAAAGTCGACGTGTATGAATTAAGGTTAACCAGACCAATTTACCATACAACCATGCATTGATTTTGAACAACTGAAATCAGAAGGCTTATGATCTCAACATGACATGTAAAGCTTGTGATTTATTCCGTAGTACATAGAAATAATATAAGACGTAATCTACAATAACTCTGAACTCTGAACATAAATCGCAACTAACCAATGGCCGAAATGTAGTTTTGCAGTGTAAAATTATTTGTTTCCAAAATCGTCATTTAACATTCGTACTCTAACTGCATACTGTTAACATATTCTTTTTATATACGAAAGGCGTTCCCCATTGCAGTTTCTGTCTTTCTGCCTATATATAAATATATACTATATACAAATAGGATGCTATATAGCATTTATCTCAATCCTGGCATACGATTATACAGACTGCATTTGCTTGTACCTATATATATAGAAACATGATAAAACACGAATTTTATTAGAGTTAGAATGCATAAGTTTCCTATAATTCTCGACGGAAAGGGATGAAATGCGATTATTTATAAACGAAATGCGAAGTAAGCAAGTAGTCGTTTCAGTTTACAATCCCTGACGGCTGACCCAAACACCAACTTAATAAAAAGCGCAGTTGTGTTTAGTCACTGCATGTATAATGCCATGCATGCATGTACTAACACACTATCTCTGTCTGTGCAGTTTCGGTTTGTTCGAGCTTATACCCTCGCCAATTTACGGCAAGTATATTAGAAATTAGCGACAGAATAGCACAAGATACTTCTGCTTTTGGGAAAGACACAAATTTATTAGTCAAGTAAAAGCTCCAGAGAACACAGACAAAAGCACAAAACAAAGCTCCCATCAAGTATTGTAGCATAATGGATCATTAATCTTCAGATGACAGAACTCCCGTAATTGTTTTTGGGCGGCCGGAGACAAATTATCGGCTTTTTGTAGGTAAACCTTGGACAACGCCAAACAAAACCTTGGCGACGTATATTTATTCAGTTTCACATCTATACTCTCTAACTTGCTCGTGCGGTTGTGCATGCATGTGTATAACGCGACTAATATTAACAGGTACAAAACCTACACGCCAACATTTTTACGCGCTATATTTCGTATACGGTTCACATTGAAGAAATATAATTTGTGCAGTCTAAGTTTGTTTCACGAAAAACGATTTCTCATCGAAATTTCTATGCGTGTAGTCAGATCGTAAAGTCGCTCAGCGACTTTCATTAAATTCCAATGCATTCTGATCTTTTAATTGTCACCAACAATTTGAATAAGTTTTGAATAGATGTGGTCATTTCGTAGTCTAATCACCACTGTTAATTTGAAATTCGTTCCGCAAAAATACATATAGCCCGTTTATATAGGAAGGAAAGGCTTCCATGCCAAGTGATCTTTTCCTATCTGATTGTTGTATGTTATAAGCTTACATTCAAACTGAAAACGAGAAATTCCGGCGTACTCGTCCCTTTGATGAATTTTTACTAATTACCGAATGACGAGAGACGAGCATTCCTCCTACACCTACTCTTTATAAATCAGCGATATTTGGCTCGAATGAGGGGCCCATAGTACTTCGATAACTGTCTCAGTATCTTCTCGCTTATTAGTTTTAATCAACATTTCGTCAACTGAGGAAATTAACCCTCTAGGGCTTTGATAAATGCTTTATGTTACCAATATCGGGCAAACATTGGCTTTAGCGCTTGAATAATATAGTGCGTAGGCAGTTAATTTATAAATAATATACAAATACGAAAGTGCAATAAACTTTATGGCGAAAGACAAAAAAAGCCATATATACACATGTTCTCGATAAGCTTATTTTTCATGCCACCATGTCGCCATTAGTTGTATAAGAACCATCGTTCTTAAGCTTTTTAACTCATCAAACTTTAAATTGTCATGACACAAAGATGTATGTATGCTTACCCGCACCCTTGCTTCGGTTAGGTTAGTCCACATCGCAATTTCCTCCCTCATTGAAATGTCCGGATATCGATTTCTAGCAAAGAATGCTTCAAGTTCTTGAAGTTGATAAGTTGTGAAATGCGTTCGTTGCCGCCTTGGTTTCTTTTGCTTCTTCGTATCTTCATTGTTCTCACCGGACGAAATACTTCCTGGGCTCTCAACGGATTGTTCTGTTAAGTTAAAAGTTTGCAATCAAAATGCATCTAAGATTCGATAAATTTCGATAAATGTACGCGTGTGGTGACCATATTTTAACTGATGCGAACAGAGTGGTGCTGTTCTTTGCATGGAATAGCCCTTTATCCTAATGGCGTGTGGACTAAACAATTGTGAATCCCCCATGCAAAAGTATATTATTTTAACACTCAAGATTAACACGATTAATCCCTCTTGAAATACTACGATAATTGCTACTCAACAACTCTTTGAATTGCATTGATAATCCTAACTCTCTATCTAATGACATTACCGTCGTGATCCAATGTTTTTTCCTCCATGGTACCATCAAACTCTTCGTCTTTTACGCTCACATTATTATTTGAGTCGGTCTCCTCGTTCGATTTTGGGGTTATCGGGGGATGCATCTTGAAATGGGACGATTAAATATCCCACTGTGTCTGTGTAGTTTTCACCTCACCCACTGTTTTGAGTAGAAAGAAGGGATTTGCGAGGCTTTTGTTTTAGTTTTATCACGGTTTAAATATACGTTTCAGCTCTCGCACCGCTGAGCACTGTGAAAGACCAACGAGTCGCGCGGTGCCGACCTTAACGCGCCTTTTACATTGTACAGTTTTTGTATTGGAATTGAATTGAAAACCAATCACAGTCGAGTATTTAGGTAAACAGAGTCATATCACTTTTAATTAGCCGTTAATATTTACAAAATCATTTGGACGTGCATGCGATTTAGGCCTGGACCTGCAGCATATTTAAAGTATGCACAAGCCGTAGAACTTTCAGAAGTTCAGTTATTCCAGTCGTCCAAAACTAGTTTTTTTCAAATATTATTTATATTCTTGCCCGTGCTCTAATGTGTTTATATTGGAGTGAATGATTGCATGCATGCATGAATGTCGTGTTTAGAAAAGTTATTATGGACGGCGTTGATCGTATGAAAATAATCAATAAACAAAATAGTGTCGATGTGTAAATGATGTGAACAATGGCATCTAGCTGGTGGTTTAATAAATGCTGAGCATAACAACCTTGTCACCTCTGTTTGCTATCGCCAAAAAACTAATAAAGAAAATCATTAGTGGTGGTATTTTGCATCTGACAACAATCTTTCTCACAAAGAATCATAAATCTGAAAGCCGTCTTCTCGCTGGGAGATGTTAAACAAAAATGACGCAAGCAAACTGGCAAACACGACTTTGATTTGTCTCGATAACATGATCCATCAACTAAGTCTAAGCAACACGTTAAACGTCTGAGGCCATACTAAGCTAGAACTCGTGCATGTTTAGAAGTGTTTAGTTGGTTAATGATTGAGTTTTTTCGTTATTAAAAACCATAGTAGGCTGTTTACCAATCAAAAACGACCTTGCATGAACAAATTGGGCTCACAAATTGTTATACTACAAAGGCCAAAGCTAGAAACGTCTGACTTTAGGTATACCATTGCCATAAGAACACGTGTGATACCGATCAGTGTTTGCTTTTTTGGAGCTATTTGATAAAAATACCTTCGGATGATAGGTCGGTTCACACTAACCTGTTTTTTAGGCCTTAATTAAATGCAAACTAAGCTGAGTAATAGTAAAGGTTAAAAGTTTTGAATTTTGTGAGACGTACTCATCGTCTGACTACCTCTTACATGCCAAGTGCATATATTTATGTGGTGTTTTTTTACATGCATACATGCATTTATTCCATTATTGAATCACTATACAGCAGTTAAATGGCTTAGCTCACCATTTACTTTTCACGTCGCAGACGCTTTATTTGTATACGAAAGATGTGAATAGAATTTCAAGTGATACCCTACCTATGATCATATGCTTTTTTGACCGGACTACAAACTCTTCGAGCCCTGGTAGTGTAGGCGATGGTTGAATGAGACTATACTTTGCTTCAGACCGTGTACATTATAGTAACAGAAATTAGATTGACAGGATGAAGGCTTGCCCAGTAATTAATAATTCTAGGGAGCAATGACCTTGATCACAGGTGGCTTGATAGTCTACAGGAAAGTCGGCATGATGACAGATGTCCTAGTTCAATAGCGTATACATACAACTTTTTAGAGCAATATCAATTAATTTCCCACTAATTGTTGCGTGTTCCGATGACACAGAACAATACTCTTAAAGGGTGTGTTTCTATGTAAACTGTATTCCACGAGATGACGGATCTTGATTTATAGAACATTTCATTATCCATTGTATTCCTATTGACTGTTGACTCTCACGGAATGAAATCTCACGAAGTCACCACATGTGACCTAGTTCTTTCAAAGACACCAGTGGCAGTGTGAGTCAGTGACTTGCACTTCATCCGTTCAATAGTACTTGAGTCCGAAGGTATTTTGATCGTTACCAAATTTTATACTAGTCTATTAACGATTTTGACATTCTACAGTATATCGAAACAACAATTGGGAAAGATCCAATACTGAGGTTTTATTGTTGAACAATTGCCGAATTGGGGTTAGCTTTTAACCAGGGCGTGTGTGTATCATTGAATATTTCTATTAATTGCTTGATTTTGACCTTGAGTTGTATCTCAGCCCAACTTATATGGAAATTTTAAATATGCTCATTAAATTACAAGACATAATGATATACCAGGGTGACACGATCGCAAACGTGTACGCTGTTGATCTCGATAACATACAGGAATACCGCTATTTTTCCTGAGACATGCAAATTTGTTACCGCGCTTAACTGAAGATCACGTTTACGTAACGTCTCCCAGTCATCAATCATGCATTTCACCAGCATGTATTCCTCTGCGTTTCAATGAAATTTTAGGAAAACCACTCAGTCATCTCTCTTTTGGTAATTGTTTAAGGTGTTTGAGGGAAGCGAGGTTATTTAGCTAAAATATAGGGCTGTGGGAATACAAATCCCAATTTTAATAAAGGAAGGAATAATTTTCAGTTGGATACAGACTGCTTTGTCAAACATCGGTAACTGTATAATAGTACTTGAGAATTATCCGCTATGGTCGAAGTTCCTGATGTTTCTGTGAAGTTTCCATATTCGAAGAAGTGCTGAGTCATATCCGATGTACGAGTCAAAGGAAAATATTTTGGCATCGGTGTCCGAGTCCGACGATATAAAAAAAGCCAGTGCTACGAAGCGCTTATAGCATTGTTATATCTTAGAAACCTTTTTTTAAAAGGATTCAGTTTATGAGGAGATTTTTATGCTTCCTTGTTGCCGCTCTCAAGTGTATTTGCTTTACTAACAGTGTACAGTATACAAAATTTGAGCTGATTAATCCAAGGAATTTGTTGCAATTGCTCTTGGAAAGTTTTAAAAACTTATTAGGGACTCTACTTGTTGTGTTCCATGATCCTTTATCAATTGTTAATTAGCAATTAAAGATGACGGTCGCGTTGAGACAAAGCCCTCGCAATATCAACAATCATCTCCTCTAGGAGCCTTTGTGAGCAAACGTCAAACCTTGATACGAGTCCACAAACACTAATTATGTTGATGCTATTTTGATGATCTTTAGGAGGCGTCATCCAACAGGGATCTCATTTATATTATTGTGTTCACACTGAGCCTCCCTAATGGAAAAATCCCAATGAAAATCAGATCAAATCCGTATTCACATACGAACGCTAAGTCCTTTGGTAATTCCCAGCATTCGCACATGAAGGCTTGTAACGACATGCGCGTGCGCTATTTGCGTTGATTTTTCGAACGCTCGAAAGCTAAGCAATAATGAGCATACCTTTCAGTCGATCGATGTGTTTAATGCACTTTTATATTTGCCTTCGCACTCCTTTGATCTACAACAACCATCACGAGTCTATGTCAATATTTGAAAACGTCGATTTTCACTGGAGCCTAAAGTTAAACAAAGGGATTTTCTTGTCGACGGGACACGCTGTTATTGCTCATAAACTCTCCTGCTTATCATTGTTGAGCGACGTAACTGACCCATCACTTACCAATGTTGAGTACAGATACACATTGCGTATTAATCGCATCAGAAATGTCGAAACAACTGAGATGTTAACGAAGACTCGGTTATTGAACGGAAGTTAATATTTGAGTTACCCTGCTAATTTATAGGCTCGACCAGCCGCTGAATGCTAGTTAATTGCGGAACCGTAAAAAACGCGCACCATTGCCGTATAGCATTACATTAAATTGATCGAAAATATATCAGAAGGAAAAACTTCCCCTCTAGAGTTTAAAGAGGAAACAATAGTAAACTCTTACAGCATATATAGACCATATAATGCGGGGATATTTTTGCAAAAAAGATCATTCTGACGTTTGTACGCTTCATGAAAGTTGACGTTTATAATTACTTACAGCGCTTTGTCATTTTTGCGTATATATAGTGACACAAACATTCTTTGAAATTGACCTGCATGGTGTTGAAGAAATATTTCATGAAATGACTTTTTTCAAAGTTTGCACAGGGGCGTGACTTAGGTCTTAAGAATAAGAGGGAGGTGTCCATCATTTTGCCTGACGGGAGGCATGTACGCACATCGAAGTTTATTATATATGTAAAGGACCGGCAAGTTTAGTCAGTCGATATCTGCCTAATAAAATATGTCAGTCTTTTTCTTACAAAATGTTTCGCAAAAAATTTTCTGACAATCATGATGTATATAAATTTGATGTATATGTGAGCCAATTGCATTAGTTCTCATGGTTGATTTTTGATCATAAGACATACCTGACATTGTATTAGATTCCTATATTTAATAGTTCTTTTTTCGATGATATGAACTTATAATCCTTGCGCGAATAAAGTACATTAGATAAATCTATATACCAAGCTGGTGTATTTGCTTTAGCCCAGGAGAAGAAAATGTTTAGACTTGTTGGCATGTAAATCCACGGAACCGGTAAATCCCACGCCGGTATGGTTCTAAAGCCGCATTTACACTATGTGGCCTGGACCTGGTCTAGGGCACAAAATCCAGGCCAACAGCAGGTGGACCACGCCTGTGGCAAGATTTTGGTAATGTGAACAGGCTTTACCTAGTCCTGACAAATTTTGAACTTAATAGTACGATTTGTATCGGATACAAATAGTGTTACCACTTTTCGGCGTGTTTTGGGTCTTTTTCCAGGTATTTTGTCAATTACTTTGGTTATCCGATATAATCATCAAGACTTGTCGTCCTAGACCTGGTCCAGGTCAGGTCTAGGCCTGAAGTGTAAACGGGGCCTAAGTCTATAAGATATAGAAAGGTAAAACGAAAAGGTTTTCGTTTTTTGTTGCTGATGAACAGGCGAACAAATCATGAGGAAAATCTGGGACGTAGGAAGATGTCGACGATTGCGGGGACCCCGTGCACAAGGCGCCACAAACAAAAACAGGTGTGCAGGCAAAACCTCGTACCAAGGGTTTTTGTGCAGAATTACACACCAAGGTGTGTTTGACTGCACACCAAAGGACTGGTTTTTATTGGCCGAACCTCAACCTTTCAGAGGATTACTTAATATCCTGATATTTAATGGTAGAAGGAAGTGAAAATTTCATAATATAATTCTATAAGTACGCCTAAACAAGGATATGAGAATATAAATTGCAAGAATATATTTTGAACTTTTAAAAAACTGCAAATAGTACAAACAATGTAAAACTAATCCCGTGAAAGGGACGTTTAAAACACAAACCAACTTTGATATTTTACAACATTCACAATTATACATATTACCAAATGTAGTAATGAACAGTGAATAAATGTCCTCTCAAATCAACAAAATGTAAAGAAGAATTTAATTGAGGTGGGTTCTCTTCCAAGTTTCGAAAACAATTCATGCGAAACGTTCTTGGTTTAAGCAAACAAGACTGAAACCAGTCCGCAGAAAAGTTGAGATTAAGGAAACATGACTGTGTTATCAATCAATACATATGGCAGCCGCTGGTTTCTTCTTTAGGGGCGGTTCCAATGCATCGATAGTTGAATCCCCGTCAGTGTTGACTGGGCCCTTAACCATTGCTCGTAATTTGCTCAGGTCTTTCCGTTTGTTTTGGATTCTGTCCATCTTCTCGTTATACCATTCTCTTGTCTTTTCAATCAGTGCATATGACTTTTGACCGGTTCCACCGGTAGTAACGGTAATGCTATATGTACCGGAAATACAAAAAGTATGTTTTTTGCCCAATTTCTGGCATGCCTAATGCCTGTGAATGCTCGATATGTCATTTTTTGTTCAGGGCCTCTTAAGAAAGCCTGCACTTGAGGATGGCCCTCAATAACAGCATTATACTGGTTCCACGTAAATGGTTGTGTTACTGTCCCCTCGACTTTCTCTAACTGACGAATTCTCCATTGCAAAAGCTTTATCCAATTTGGGTTATCGCCTAAGTTCTCATTCTCTAAGGCTGCTATCAGTTTTTCCAAAATTGCACTGTTGGGAAACTGGACGGAAAAAACGTGAACAGCATCAGTGAATTTGTTAAGAATCTCTGTATCTTTAAAAGCGAATAATAATGGGGCTGTTTCGGTAATCAAAGTAACAGGACTTGCAGCATTTGTCGTCTTGCTTTGAGAACTGAATTCCACTGTATTAACAAGAGAAAGTACAAGTGTCTTGAAGCACCCACTTGTACAGTTGATTTCCAGGAGCTTTTTTAGAAATACTGCCCATCTTCCATACTGCGAGACTGGACTGAGCTTGAACATTTTCAAAACTGCGTCAGAGATAGACTGAAAGCCAACAGCAACAGCAACGCGAACGAGTGGTGGAATCATGTTATCGTCTCCCAGGCAATAGTGAACCTTTGTACTTGATTCAAAAATGAAAAGGAAATATATGAATTAACTATAAATATTGGTTTGCAGGTACACCATGTGAATTTTTTTCTGCAAGTCCACAAACTGTGTGATTGGGATTTTACCTACCGTTGGTCTGTGTGGCGTTTTTTTTTGGTCTAAAAAAGCCCAACTTTCATGTTCAGCAATACTATATCCACAGGAAAATATCAGACGGGCTCGTTTCATAAACAATTCGCTTACACGCGTATACATGATTTAAACATGCCAACTTCATTTTTACAGTCATACAATAGTTGACGATTCTTTTCTAAACTATTGTGAACAGGGCATTTTCTACGGCATAGGGTGAGTTGAAGCGAAATACAAAATACAAACCCATCCAGGCATTGCGAAAACTCTCGCATTGCATAAAACCGTTCATCTTCAGAAATATAAAAAAAACTTACTGAGACCATCGACTAAAAACGCCCTTTGCTATGACTTCCGTGAGAAACAGATTCGCCAATTCGGAAGCGTCGGCACGCAATTCAGCAAGAATTGACAATATTGAACACACTTCACTGCTATTGAGGGAAACTGGCATCGAGATTAGAAGGTTTAGAACAGTTCTAAGGTTAGCCAAAGCTGTTTGGTAATTGGGATGGTCAGCAGCAAGATGCTTCACTTGGGAAAATTCATTTGCGATCCAATCCACTGCAGCGTCGTATCCACTCTCACACATTACATACGAAGTGTTTGCTTTCGGCCAAGCGAAAATAGCGTAATTTTTATACCAGTAGGTCCGGGTCGTTGCAGCGTTGCCGGTAGGCCCCATGCAGCCTTCATCAGATGCTTCTCCCCAAAACTCGTTCTTATAATCTTCAATAGTCATGTTACTAGGACGGCGATAATTCACAACTTCATTTTCAAAGTCAAGGTTGACTTCCCCCATTCTTTGTTTGGCACCGCTATCAAGCTTAAACCATTCTCGCTCGACGATAATCTCCTCGTATTCGTTGCCATTGGGTTCAAAATCGCCGTACATGCCGAAGCGCCCTCTATATCCATAATCCCATGCATGTTGCTCAAGACGACGTCTACGAGTCACTACTGCGACGTAAAACTCGAACTTCTTTTCGTCTGGCAACACTTCATTAGCCGCCTGGAGGACGTTAACCACACACGCGTCATGGCCTTTCAGTGCGCTCTTCCCATTCCCTGAGAGACCAGCACTTGAATACCTGTGGGCTAGGAACCAAACGAACCTCTTTCGTTTCTCGGTACAAACAGTGGGAATGATTGCAGCAATTCTTTGGATAAGCTCGGGGCTTGCCGCCGCCGATGGCGGTTCACCAGTTGCACTCCAGCATAGAGAGTAGACAAGCGCAAGCCTGTATCCACTCGTGATTTCAGTTACCTCATGCTCACAATCGCTGTAATGGGCCGCGTATTTACAGCAATACAAAGACTCTTCACCATCAAAATTAACTTCTCTCATCTTCCCCTGATGCCTCACAATCAGCTTTCCTCCTTCAAATAGTGATGGAAGTTGGATTATCATTGTCGCAAACATGCCTTTCTCTTTTTCTGTATCACGATGGGGCTTAAAATGGCCACCTTTTTCATACAGAAGCAACTTGTATAAATATAATTGGACACATTTATCAACACAACCAAGAATCTCCTTTACAGTTTCCACAACTGTCTTTACAGCATGATCAAACTGCTGATTCTTTATCACGATCTCGGCTGGACTCAGCTCCCAACTTTTTCTTACACTTTCATCTATGATTGTCTTCTCCCCTAAGCCAAAGGGGGCTTTCTTTGCGACAGCGATAATCTTTCTGGCTTGTTCGTCTTGGACAGGTAAAGAGATATCTCCAACGTCCTTGATGAACAGTCCTGGTAACGGTAGTTGAGGTAGGCACCCACTTGAAGCGAAATCTCCTGCACCATCCCTTAGGGCATGTAATTTTTCATACAGTTCCTATGAATAAGAAAGAATGAAACTAAACCTAAGGATATCTGGCCTCAAGTGTTTTAATCACACGTGAAAGCAAAGCGGATTTAACTATTTATTTATTTTCTTTTTTCTCCTTGTATTGATAGCCGCCGTCGTCGTGTACTCGTCCCACATGCTTAGATCCCAGTATCGCTATCAAGGGCAGCGCACTAAATTATACCCCTTAAAAATATGCCCTTCAAATCTTTGGGTATCAAATATTGCCAAAATAAACGTTTGGTCTAGTAGCTATTATTCTTAGTTGCTATTATTTATAATATATTTGTTTCCAACTAGAATACTTTGTGTCATTGTCCTGAATCACAAAGCAGTTTTCTCCATATTAATTTATACCTGTAATGAGAACTAGCTCAGATAAGAATATTTTTTGTTCAAAATCTTGTGAAGATAAAAAGTTTTCACTTTTCTGTCTTTTCGTACCATTTTCACTTCTCATTCTTGTAAAATTATCTTTTTGCATTCAACTGATTTATTGATGCTCTTTCACCTCATGTTTGAATAGATAGTGATTGGATATATTCCCAAATTTACTTGAAATTACCATTATAATTACACCTAACCCCCCATTTCCCTCAAAGCCCCATAATTTGGTTATGAATTGGTAGTCAAAGCCCAGCAGTTGGTACATGCAGAGAAGGTAGGTTTATCCACAAATCCCTCCTAGCCTACTGACAAAATGGAAAATCTCTTTCATCCCAAAATTGAAAAGAACATAAAGAACCAGAATTATCAAACAAATTTAAAATTTGCAATTTAAATTTTTTTAGCTTTTATAGACACATTATCAATAGAACCAAATTACATCAAAATTACAATCCTTAATTAAATATACAAATAAAATATGGAGCAAGAAAAAGAGGAGCAAAACTTTTCTTTAAAATCACTAAAACTGTGTATTAAAAGGAACTGAAAGCTAAAAAGTGACTCACCTGGATTAAAAAAGGCATATTATGTAAGACTGTTAAGCTATCATATGAAAGGTAAACATACATATGACAGCATATGCGATGAATTCTATGATTCAATGACCAATTGTCTATTTATCATGTTTAAAACACACATTTTTAACGTTTGGAGAAAGGAAGGTCTAGGTTAAGAATGGCGAGAAGTTGCTGCTAAGATACTTCTTGTAGCACAAACCGCAATAAATTTCACCTGTAGCTGTGCCGTGGTATGGTTAGTGACTTTGTGTTAACCCATGTGAAAAAATAATAAATCACTAAGTTGAAAAATAAAATATTACCTCCATATTCCATCAAATTAACGTTTCAAACACCAAACAAATAGTCGGACATAAGATTTGGTCACAAAGGCCAAACGGTGAATACCTACACAAAGATACTAAAAACAATTGAAGTTCCAATATTTTTTACCAGAAATTACAGTATTAACTTTCTAAAAGCAATTACCTTTTCGAAAACGTTAACTAAAAAAACAACAGCAGGAGTATCTTGAAATAAAAAACCAAAACACAAGCAATTAAACATAGTCTGTGCTTTGGAAGAACGACGGAGGATGTATCATGCATCACTGCGCAAGCGTGGATAAAAAGCCCGCGAAAATGGTGAACTTGTTACCAGCGACGGTGCATTTTGTCGTTCAAACATGCACCATTTCTATACCTCCTTAGACCATACAGAATCGAATTTTGTTGTAATATAAATAATGTATAATTCAGCTTCTTCAAAACATGATTTTTTCTCACACAAAATGATTGAAATTATCTTCCTTTTTTCTTAGGTGTGGTCCCCGGCCATCTCATTTTTACTAAAGTTTTAAAATTCTTTAAAAATTTTATCACTTGAAATGCATCGTTTCCATGAAAGTAATTAATTTTACTCAGTTTTGAACCATTTGGCATCATTATCCTGTAACTAACCTATCTGACGCACCAGACAGCATTAGGTTACGTATGAGGTAGTGGGAGAATATCAACTGCAGTCTTGAATTTTAAGTACACAAACGCATCCTTATCTGTAGTATTTGATCACAATTTGATTGACAGGTTCCCCGCTCAATAAACAAAAAATAAACAAATACGCACAAAAACGTCACATCCCCATTGTCTGCCATCATAAACTGCAATCATTGTATAATATTGGATATCAATAAATATCAGTTGTATTTCCAAATTCAATCCATTTTTCACAACAATGTATAATATTTCATAAAAAGGGTTGGTTGTTCAGACAGCACACCTCGGAAATGTGCTCAAACAATTAATCATTTAATTCGAAAGAAAACCTATCAGTTTCAAAGAAGGACGCATTCTACTTGCCAACCCGTAAACCTAGCGGCCCTACTATTCCTTCACATAAAACTAGTACAATTGTTTCCATTCCAAAAACAGAAGATGTTTTATATCAGTCACTGTCTATGTCAGTTTCTGCTCCCATGTCAATTCTTGCATACTCGTCAGAGTCAATTGACTTGCAGAAGTATATCGCATATTTTAATTTTTCGCTCAGCACTCTTGGATGTGAGTAACGAGGCAATTTCAGAAGAAAGAAGCAGGTGTAACTTTCAGGCAGGAACTCATCCGGTGGGTTGTACTTGTCCAGCACCTAGAATATGTTAAGAACTACATGTGAAATATGTTTAATACAAGGTATCACAGACTCACAAGATTGTTACAATAACAAAACGTCTTGATGTTATCCGTGTACCTATTAAGGAAGCCTGGTTAATTAAAATCTAAATAGCATAGGTGCAGAAAGTTGGTTACATTGGTCGAGTGGCATGAGGCCCAGGGCATGGTTGGTACCGAGAAAGAAAATTCAAACCTCTAGTTCTTTGTAAGCAGCCTATTTTGAGCATGAATAACTAAAATATTCACAAGTAATGCAGCATGTGTTGCATATTCAATGAATTTTCCAACACCCCCTGGTCGCCACGCCCCTAATTAGGTCAATACTGCTAGACGTAAAATACGAAGGGAATATACCTGAATAACAAAATCTCTGCCACGGAAATCAGCGATGGTACGAGGTAAGCGAGTACGACCCCAAACAAAACGAAGAAACAAGGATCTCTCGGTGTTTGAAAACTGTTCAAGTGTTTGCCAGAACCATTTTATGAGGGCAGCACTTGGATCAATGCCCTTGTATGTTGTCACTGACTTCAACAGATCAAGTGGTATGTCTGGACTACCACATACCATTGTTTCTATTTCCACACCCATAAATAATGATAGCAATGGAACCGGTATAACTTCAGCCATACCTTCACGTATGGCAGCGACCTGGCGATCAAATTCACCCAGCCTGTAGTTCAGGGCGCGTCCTACGTATTCCTCTTTATTCCCGAAATCAACACTGGAAATTTTAGAGTCTAGTTGAACTTCACGTCCGCTTGCACTCGGTGTACTGAATGCCATATTCATTGCTTCAAAACCTTCCTCGTCCATATCTCGAATGCACAGCAGACCTGGAATATAATCTTTATCCATCTCAGCAAGATCTATTCCACTGAGAGCCACGCCAGCGAACTGCTTCCAGCATGGTTCAGCTAGGCTTAGACTTAATGGGCTACCGGTTCGAATTGCGATTCCAATTAAAATTCCCAGAAAACGGAACATGCTCAAGTGTACAGGCGAGTCTGCATCTGGGTTGATTATAAAGCAATCTCGATTAGCTCCAGATTCTTCACGGCCATTTGGTGTGACAATGAGAAGAGGTAGAGAACCATTTTGCAGTTCATCACATATCTCTGCAATAGACTCCGAGTAACCACCACCACAATCATCCACACTCTCGCCGATAAACTTCACCTTCCAAATACGGTGTGGAAGTAGGTAACTTTCTTTGGAAAAGCTCGAAATATTTGCGAACACCTGACCAAATACAGATTTGGTGCCATCCGGACCAGCCAATCCGCCTTTTTGACGACTTTTTTTCACTTGCATGCGGTTCAGTTGAATCACAGGACCATGCTGACGGTCGCGAACCATCGTTCCCTGAATGATCTTACGGAATGTAGAATCCTATGCAATGAAACATTGAAAATAACTGATAATTGGCACAGTCACTAGAAGGGAAGGGAATTACTTCACAAAGAGCACAATAAAGGAAGCAGGAACAGAAGTAACAGAACAAATTAAATAGCATTTCTGCACAACTTTCTTAGATTGTTAGAAGTTCGTGCACAAGAGTGATAAGTTAAATTCTTACTTTGATGGAGGAAACCAACACTGATCTAAGTGTATCAAGGTTCAGTTGCAAGACATTCGATTTATCACCAGATTGCGCTGGCATTAAATCGAACATTGGGAATGTGCTGCAGAACATCTCTGAGAAATGGTGTAACATAATTAGGCGGTTACGTAACGTTGCTGGAGGTATGTTATGAAGATGACTGTATTCCATGGGTATGACATCAGGAAGCTTTCCAGAACTCACAGCTTTCGACGTTGACCAAGCCAACGAGTGAGCAGAACCACAGGCAACACGGTTGATCTTTTTACCCTGAAAATATAAAATACGTGATTAGAGCAGACTTTTTACAGCATAAAACTCTTATATCGGTTTCATCAAGAATTTACGGTAGCAAGATGAAAATGTCTTCATGGGTATAATGTGCCGAGGAACTTACCTGTAAGGCAGTGACTAAACGTGGTCTTTGAACAGCATTCGTACTTGCATCACCTAGCTGACCTTCATCATTATCCCCCCAAGTGTAGACTTCACCAGTATCAGTACACGCTACACAATGTAATGAACCTGTTGCTACAGATACAATCTTCTTATCTTGTAACGCCGAAACCTTCTTCGGTATTCGAACATGTTCATCTGTACCGTGACCAAGACGATAATAGTCACCTTTCCCCCTATTGGAAGATGGAAGTAAAATTATATGAGGGAGTATATTGAACGAACGCGTTGTTGTCTCGTTTATTTTTTTGTGCATTACACTTCCATAAGACCATATCTTTGTGGTAGAGCATTGTTTGAAATACAACCCAATTGGCCGTTGTTTGTTCTGAATAAATAAAGCTAGTAAATGAAGTAGTAAAATAGCACTATTACATACCAGGTGTACAGCTCGCCATTTTTGGATAGGGCAACTGAGAACTGTGAACCACATGCTACTGACACTATCCCTGCCGATGTTAAAGTTTCAATTTTAACAGGAATCTTACAACCATCGCTGCCTCCTCGACCCAGCTTTCCATAGTCGCCATCTCCCCACGACCATACACAATCATCATCGGTCAAGGCAAGGGTCTGTGCATCGCCACTACCACAGGCAACATCAATGACGCGATAACCGTCAAATGCTTCGACTTTTTTTGGTACTAATTGATCTTCACTATCGCCATGACCAAGTCTACCATAACGACCTTTACCCCAAGTATATAATTCACCAGATGATGTGACTGCAGAACTGTGAGATCCACCGCAATTGATATCCACCACTGATTTACCACACAATGTGTCAATGATCCGTGGACGATCACACGACCTTAGGAATAAATCAGATCACATTTCAAAAGATCAATTCTCTGTACTTCACACCAAACACCTTGCGTATGGAACATAAAAACTCATCAAATCACCCATTCCCTCTTTTCCATAACCCAGAAGTAAAAACTTCAAGGTAAACTGTTTTCATGATGCAAATACTCTATCTGGAACAGCATTCAATATTCTATTAAAACATGGCTATTATTTCTAGAATAGGGCATATGCGATATAGAACTCGCTTAGCAGGGTTGGTGAGTTTGCCGCTTAATATTAACGGTTATTTATCTAAACACGTATCCTAAGAGCATACATAACTTAACTCTTTGGGCAGATTTATGTACGAACTATAAAAAGCCGGGTAAAACTCGCCTCCAGTTGGTACAAAGAGTCACTAACAAAATATTTATAGAAACTATATCATAACCGTTTAAACTTACAGCCTATTGCCATGCCCTAGTCTGCCATCGTCACATTCTCCCCACGAGAAAACATCACCATCTGAAGTCAACGCTAATGAATGTTTTCCCCCACAGTGTACAGCTACCTTCTTGATGACGTAATGTTGCAATGTTTCAAGCAATCGCGGGCTCATAACCGTTTCAGACCCACCAAGGCCCAATCTTCCACCATGACCATAACCAGTAGCATGCACCTGCATAATATTAAAATATTATTGAATTGACATTCAAATTATCTGAGTTTTAAAGGGAAACAGATGGTTATTAATAATGATGGCATGATGAATTGCCGCAACAAGCATTACTTGTATTAGTACACCACCTTGATTCTCGTACGATGTTGCATCGTAATTTATTACTAGGCTTATAGCATCACGAATTCATGAGGATTAATTTTTGTATTTTATGGAGCGCTAATCCTGTTAAACGTTTTTTTAAACATGATTATTACTGACATATCTACCTTGCCATCGGTTGTTACAATAAACAAGGACTGTTCACCCCCACATATCTGTACAGGTTTGAGTGGTGACAAAGTATCACATTGCTGTGGAATTTTCACCTTCGGTCCCTCAACACCTCCTAACTGACCTCGGTGATTGTGACCCCAACCGTAAATCAAGTTCGTACCAGTCCATGCCATTGTCCAATCACAAGGACGACTAAATAATATACAAAATATAAAATGATACTGTGTGCACATTTCACTTTCCGTGACTGTCACAGAGTCTTTTTCCCATGGGCGTAGTTCACTCTCTACTTTATGTGTTGTATCATATCTACCATTATCATCCCTTTAAGCCTGAAGCCTTGGTATGTTGCTCTCTTTGCCCCTTGGCCATTGGGAAGCCCTCGTTGGCTCGTTCCCACGAGTGTTGGGGCAAGAAAAAATGAGTACCCGGGGGTTTTTATAGGTTGCAGACTTTTTCACAGATTGTTTGAACCTACCGACTGAACCAGTTAACAAGCTGTTCGTCCTGTTCTTGTTTAAATATCTGATGATCTTCGTAATCGTGATTGATTTCACCGATACTTTTTATTTCATGAATTTTCAAAACAGTTTCATCTAGCATATCCTGAGGAAGTTTGGAACGATTTTCAAGTGCAATCGCTGTCCTACGTGTGGTGCAGTAGCGTATAAACCATGCCCACTCTTGTTGGCCTTCAACTGGCGGAGACAATTTGTCAACAGCTAAATCACAGGCAAAGGCCACCAGAACCTAAAAGAGTCAGTAGTTCCATTTTTATATACAGCAAAATGTTTAGTATTATGCGTTTTTTAGTTAAACCCCCCCAAAAAACTAAACCTCCCCTGCGTTACCTCCGTAAGCAAAATACCTGAAAAAATGGACTGAAGAACAAATGCTTGCCACTTCGCACTAAAGATTCATCATGTTCGTACTGACGTCGTAACATGTTGGGCAGTCCTTTCATCAACATACCAAGTGGTGAGGGGGAAATAATCTAAAAAGAAGATTTTCAGAATCCGGATTGCCACAAAACTTTCACACAAATATGAATATATTAAGATGTGACGGATCTCAAGAGAAACCTGGGGCCGGATGTTCGAAAACCGTCACTCACAATTTTATTTACTTAACATATACATTTTTACACACAAGAGTTTTCCTCGAGTTTAAATATTCCATCAGTCAACTGGTTTGTTGTAATTGATGGACGTATAAATTTGTCGGGGTTAGCAAAAGAGTAAAATCGGACTTCTTTACAGGTAACAATCTTACAAACCTAGAACCATCGGCTAATAGACTAAAATTAGAGAGGAAATCATTTTTAAGAGAAAATCATTTTTACTTATTATATAAAAAATCCGCTTACTGCGTCCATAACAGGATCAGTGCATGGCTTCAGCTTGCACGTCTCATCAGATGGCTGCGATCGTGATCCAAGAAGGTCAGCGATGTTAATACACGGGCCATGCGCAGAAAGTAGTAGCTGACGTAGACGCAACAATGCCCACGTACGATGTTCAGCAGATAAACTATTGAACTGAACGCACGCTGATAGCGATGATGCAAGACTCACAACCAGTTCATTGCTCACAAGGGCTTCCAAGTAAAAATCTACGACAAGAAATAACGCCTTAGTCTCATACCTTTCATGAATAGTTACTTTAAACTTTTGCAGTTTGAAGCGAATAAAAATTAGAGCACTTACCAAGCAGACACACAGCGAGATCGATTGAAGGACGCGATAAAACAGTGCTATCAGAGAGAACATCGTATGGGATAACAGAGGACGCAATTGGATAGACAGTCATTTTCCAGCCCCAGCCTTTCACTGGCTCGGTGCTCGCAACAGTAAATTTATACCGCATTTCGTTACCGTTGATCTGAATTTCGTTGGACCAATCGCTTTTCTCCCTTCCGCTGAGATTTGCAATCTCTCTGCCGTTACAATCATGCAATGTCAAGACATCTTTCCATCTTTCTGTTGAACACTGTCGATCAAACTCGACCCTGAGACAGGATGCACCGGGTATTTTGACGTAATCACATATTTTGTTATCCTCGTGAGTGTATGGATGGGAGCTCTCGATTGCTTCAGGTAACTTCACTAACTTCGACGAGGAAACATCTTCCTGACTTGACACAACATTTTCTAACTCAGTCTTGCAAAGGTTCACTAACATTTCAGCCACCTATGTCAAATATGAATGATTCAGCATACAAAAACAATACTCAGATAAAAAAACTTTCAGAAAACACTTTGATAAAATATAGAGCGAAACAAACCCTGAATCACAAAATGCGCGAGCTTTAGGTGAAAAACATAAACATAAACAAAATGAATGCTACCTACTTCAGGAATTTCTTCGGCAAGTTCTTTCAATACGCTTGAAACAGACTGTTTCCCTTCTTCACTTGTTCTATGTGCAACCGCTAGCTTAAGGACATCGACTAGTAACTCAGCATCTTTAGTTCCTAATTGCTTGGAAAGTTCATCTAAACTAACATCAGATTTCACATTACTGAGGACGACTTCACTTAGCGTGGCTTGTGGTATCACCGATAAATCAATGGATTTGGTCGAAGGACTGATTCGAGTATCAGAATTCTGTGGGTCAGCGTTATCTGCGCTCATTTCTGAAGAAGGAGTTAAAGTTTTTCGTGATAGTGAACTCACAACTGCTTCACGGGCAAAATGAATTTGAAGAGCAGACAAAATGTGCCCAAAGGCATGTTGCCTTTCGTGCTTTTTCCTCAAAGCTAAAACAATTTTAGTGAGAGATGGTCGTTGTTTGCGAGATTTCCCGCTTGTTACTTTCGGTTCACTTGATGATCGTTTGGTGACGAAATGTGACCCGAGTTGGTCTTCGTTGACGAGGTAGGGAACTGGTTCATGGTTAACTGGAGTGTGTATGTTGATATCCGACCATGCAATGCTATGCGATGAACCGCATGCAACTCTGGTTATTTTCACCTCTTCTAAACCAATGACAATATGAGGTCGACGGTTGACGGACGTGGATCCATTGCCTTGCTGGCCGTGGTCATTATCACCCCACGCATAAACCTACAATGATAATAAAAAATTTTGCACACACAATTTGCAAGATATTTGCCTCGAAAGTTTATAATGATATTGTCTTACAAAACTTGCACTAGCTTCAGTGAACAACAACAACAACACATTGTGAATGCTCACTTATCGAATTACAATACTTGTTAGTTGTTAATAGAATTCTCCGACGGACTGGGTTTTGGTATTGACTCTGTACCAACAAAAAGGAGCTTAGGGATTGCTCACACCCGACTAGGCAGGTAACTCGTTTAGGCGAAATTGTATTTATATTTGCAAGATTACACTGCCGAGATAAACCATTTTAAAAAGTTCTTGTAGAATTTGTTATGTAAGTATGCTTGAATGCTTTCACCTGAACAAAGCAATTTTTGTTTATATTTAGGACAAGAGAGATTTTCACTGAGAGGGATAACATGCACATAAGGAAAACGCCTTCGGTGTAATTTGCCTACCTGCCCTTGCTCAGTGACTGCAAGACAATGTAAAGCACCGACAGCCACATCAATTATCTTTTTTCCTCTAAAAACTTCCACTACTTGTGGACGACGAACATGAGAATCATTACCATGACCAAGTCTGTAATAATCACCTTTACCCCTGAAGAAACAAAATTCCTTGGCTAGTGACTTCAAGAGAATGTGAAGGAAGCTTGGGTAGTTGAAAATGTTCACAATATTAAAGATTTAAAATCGGTAAAACTATGTTAAGAATTTGGGTTTTATTGTATGTAAAAATTTCGATAAAGTATCCCATCTACGGTCAAATACTGTTAAATACATATAATACTTGTATATATACCAAGTATAGACTAGACCGGATCTCGTCAAAGCTAGTGAAAACTGAGCACCACATTCGACTTTAATTACTCCCTCATCTTTCAATCTTTCAACAGGTTGAGGAACTTGACATCCTTCACTTCCACCACGGCCTAATTTGCCAAAATCCCCATCTCCCCAGGACCAAACATTACCATCATCAGTTAATGCCAGTGTCTGTGCATCACGACTGCCACACGCAACACTCACCACATGATGGCCTTGAAACGCTCGAACCTAGAATTTCACATTTGTACTGAACATAATTATATATTCAACTAGGGAAAGGTCAGTGACAAGTCTAGGTAAGATAACCTTGGCATTCTCACAGTCGCTTTTGTGCTGTATTTAAAAATTTACTCATATTTATAGACTTATACTTTCAATTGGTATAATATTGACCTATGACGAACGATGTTATGCTACATGGAATTACGCTTCCAGCCTCTCTAGTCTTTTCAACATGCGAATGCTTATGAACGTTTCGAAAATATCCTTTAAAAGAATGTTTCAAATATCCGGCGATTCCAGTCATCAGGGGTGGATCCAGCACTAGTGCACTAATTTGCATTACAAAACAAAATGGCTATTTTGAGCAGTTTTCTTGTGTCATGCAAATTAGTGCACTAGTGCTGGATCCACCCCTGCCAGTCATTAATGAAAGTGTTGGTAAGGCTATTGGTATCAACATTATTAAAGTTCACAGATATTTTCCAGATCTCATATTAGAACAAAGCAATAAATATTAAATGGCATACTTATAAGCAATTCGTAGAGTTAGTTTGCATGAATTAAATATTAAACTTTTCAACAATTTGTGTTCTTACCAACTTTGGTTTATTAGTCGTGTAAGCATCACCATGACCTAAGCGGCCATATTCTCCCAAGCCCCAGGTGTATAATTCACCGTCACTGGTAATGGCGGCACTATGTGAACTGCCTGCAGATACGTCACGGACAAATATTCCATTAAAGGCTTCCACAAGCTTCGGCGTGTCATAATTTCTGTGAAGTTGAACGAAAGATAAAATGATATATCATCTTTTTTGACAGATCTCCTATAAGCTTAACTAAAATTGAAACATGTAGGGACTTTTAGGGAAATATTTTCGAACTAATGAGCTTATTTTATGAATTACATTTATTAAATTAGAAGTGAGATACCTAAACATCTTCTATCATGACAAATTACAAAATTGTTAACCCCACTCACTGTCTATTTCCATGACCAAGCTTGCCATCTTCACCTTCACCCCACGAATACAGTTTTCCCAACACGGTTACAGCCAAACAATGTCTTCCACCAGAATGCACAGCAAGTTTCTTCACCTGGATACCACACAGACTGTCTATCTTCCTCAGTGTAGGAACATTACCTGTGATAGTACCAAGACCCAGTCGACCATTTGTTGATTCACCACAGGCGTAGACCTCTCCTGATCGTGTTACCGCAAACAAACTTTTAGAACCACCGCTCAATTGAACCACATTTAAGTCCGTCAGCGTTTCCGATAACGTTGGAGTTTTTATCTAAAGAAAGAAAGTAATGATGTATATTGGCTCCAGTGACGCCTAGGTGATTCGGTCGCCGTCCACACATTATGCTCATTATGACTACATTGACAAAGGGATAAAATACTTCAGATCAATACGTTATATCTCTCTGTCTAGACCTAGTTCCAGGGAAGAATTATTAAGAATCTCAAGACGCTACCTTGGAGCCCTTTTGTCCACCAAGTTGATCTTTATCATTGAGACCCCAGACATAAACCTGAACGTTTCCATCTTTCGACTCCTTGCGGGATCGCTGTGCTTTCCTCAGCGACGATGCGCATGTCTGCGGTTCTGTTTGCTCGTCTAAGGCTAGGAACGAAAAGCCGCAAGCAATTTGATCTTCGTCAGATTTACGTTTTCCAATTATGGTCAAACCATGAACCTTTGTGTCAATTCCACTGCTTCGACATTGTTTTATTGCTATCTGTACAAAACGGCATTCCTGTTGAAATAGAAGAGAAGAAAATGATAAGGAAAAGTATTAATAAGGTCTGTTCACACAATTTTGTCGCTCCCGACGTTCGATTGTCCTGACGGATGCAATGTAGTCTGTTCATAGACGGATCTAAATCTATGACGGGAACATCAAGACGACGTGAAAATGGCGGATAAATGGCGCGGTACGTTCTTAAATGAGCGCATCGTTTTTGACGCTCCGTACGACCGTACTACAAGCCGTGCTGAATTGGCTTTTGTTTGCTCTCCATATACAGGGTGTCTCAAAAAACCCCGAAACTATTGAAATCACTCATCGTTAAAATTTGAATGCCGTGTTCACGAATATCAGCCCGTGGGGATTTAATGCAACTTATAACATACTAAATACGAAAAATTTGAAATTGTGAATATGATTAAATTTAAATTAGCCTTGTCATTGCTTCGAAAGAAAATGGTACAGCTGACCGCGGAACAACGAGTGTTTATTGTGATATTATCCCAACAGAGTGGTAGGCATTCAAACTCTAACAATTAAATTGTTATGGGTGATTTCAATAGTTTTCTTTTTTTTGAGACACCCTGTACATCGAGAGACAACAGCTTTATAGATCCGCCTTAAATTCCGCGTTGTTTACGTGGCGAGGCCAGGCACACCCATCGCTACAAGTGTCCAAAGTTGCGCAAAACTTGGCAGCCACAGTGACCACAAGTGTCAAGTGTCTACTTGATTGTTTAGCAATATTGTCTTGCGTTTGTCAAATGCAAAATACGACGTTTGTAAGGGGTCAATTTCGTGCAAGCGTCTAGATAAACAGGTTTTGCGTAGTACAGAACAGAACATCAAAATCGTCGAAGAATTCAATTACTTCCAGCTGTAATCACACCAAAAAACTACCTATACACCTGCACCTCAACCTGTTTCGAATGAAACTTTATTTTGCCAACTATACTATGATTGATAATTATCTTCTTATGCATGCATTGGACAGTTCATTGCTTGATTTTCTTTTCAATTATGACCGCGGTTAAGCCGATCCGCCAAGGTCGAATTCACACAAATGAAAGGAAAATCAAGCGAAATATTTTGTCCAAACGAAAAATTCCGCCAGGTGGAAAATTGTATTTTCCGTTGGACCGTGTGTGAACAGGGCGCTAAAACGATAAAAGAAACGAAAATTGTTTTGGAAACGACCTATATAAGCCTTATCATATAAGCCACCCACTCATCGTGTAAATTTTTCATATTGTGTTATAATCCAAATAAAAATGTGAAACATCTGATATTATTTGCATATACAAGTACGTAAAAAATTTTCTTATTCCATAGAATCAGATAGAGGTGTAATCACATGCATATAGGAATTATCTTGAATGCAGGTCAACTAATGGGACAATGCTTAAATGCAAATTTCTAGCACAGTATATTCATCGACTAAGTGACGTGAGAGCGCAATACTGGTGACAAATTCTGACGTTTAACTAAGTACATATAGCTCAGTACGCCCTGTCTATCTACATTTACAACAGTTCTTTCTTTCGTTAAGCAACCGCGATGAATCCAACGGACGATCAGATAGCTTTTCGTTTACGAAAGCTAAAAACACATTTCACTAGTATGGATATGAATAAGGATGGGTATATTTCCAGAGAAGACTACGAACTCATGGCAAAAAGAACAAACGAATACAGCAAAGCCACTGGCGAGCAAGCTGAATCATGCAACAAGGCATTTCGGCATGTCGCAGATGTTCTTGGGTTTGCTCCAGGAGTAAAAATTCCCAGAGAGGAGGCAATAAAGAAGGCAAATGAAATGCTTTTGAACGAGCCTTGGGAAAAACAGAAGGAAATGTGTTTCAACGCTTTCAGTATGATTTTTGATGCCATTGACCTCAACAAAGATGGCCACATCTCGCTGAAGGAGTTCAAAATTTGGTATCAAATGCTTGGTGTTCAAATTTCAGACGAAGACAAAGTCAAGTCTTTCAACTTGATTGACGTGAATAAGAATGGTGAAATAAGTCGCCAGGAATTCCTCGAAGCATCGTTTGAATATTTACACGGAATTGAAGAGAATGAGTTGTCCAAGATACTTTATGGACCTTTACTTGATTAACTTAAAAACACGTTGTAAAAGCTTTCTTTTAAAGTTTAATGGGACCTCACCACGAAAATGTGTAAGAGGCCGCTTATTGGATATGTTAATGGGGACTTAATATACTATCACGGACACGTCAATGCACAATCATTTCAAACATAGTTATACGTTACATTTAAATTCCACAATAAATGATTTTCCTAAATTGTAACCAACGCCTATAACTTCGTTTTAGGGGCTGATTACATGGTGTCTTTTCAGCCCGGGCTGAGTTTCAAACCGGTGCCAAAGTATTTTTCAATTACATGGCAAGTTTCAGCCCGGGCTGTGTGAAATTTGTAAAGGCTGGTAGTAGACCTACTTCGATTCTTCAAGCTCTTTAAAATCCCGAATGACATGGCGGCCCGGGCTGAAAACACTCCATGTAATTAGCCCCTTAGTCAGTAGAAAGAATATACTTTCTAGTTACTCCGGCGTGAGCGACGGTGTTGAAAATTCGCCTTAGCTTTGTTTTGTTTTTGTTTGTTTTTTTATTTTTTTTCGTCGTCGCAAGTGGGTTTTGGCGCGAAATGTACTAGTATTTGAAATGTGTATGTTTACCGTATTTATATCTACGTCACAGTTTTGTCTTCCAAGAGTTATGGTGCACAGCTTTGCCTAATTTTCCGATGCGCGATTCGATTTCGCTCGCATGACACGGCAATTCCTCCAAGAGGAACAAATAAACCGTTCTTTTGTGCTGTTCGATTAAGTTTAGATTTAATTGGGGTCAGAATATATTTAATACATGTAGATTCTGGTCCTATTTTAATAATATCGCTGCTATTTCGCCCTTTAACAAGATGTGGTCGTGTATGGGCGCGTTGACACGTCGCAGTTTGCACAGGATTGAAGATTAATATAACTATATAAGCGCGAATTCTAAAGGCAAAGTGTAAGACAAAGCGAACGTATCATGCGGTTTATTCTAATAGTGTCTTCGTATCGTTAAGGCCCTGTTACACGGTGCAATTTTTCTTGCAACTTGCAATGCAATTCTACGTCTAAGAGATGTAAATTAGTAAAGAGTCTGGCAGAAGAAAAGTGCATGAAGTGTAATAAACACAAAAGTTTCGTTGTCCCCAAATATACATCTCTCAAAAGTAGAATTGCATTGCAAGTTGCTAGAAAAATTGGACCGTGTAACAGGGCCTTTAGTGTATTGTGCAGTTTTCCAAATATCAATAGTTTTGTACAGCAACGAGGAGGAATTTCGTTTTAGACCAATCAGCATTCTGATTGGCTTAACCTGTAAATGTAAACAAATTAATGAGCCGCATATTTCCAGACAAAATTCCTCCTTGTTTTGTCAGTGTTAAATCGCCAATTCTTCTCGACACATTCCCTCGAATATAAGTGGGTTTGGCTTGGCAAATCCTTTCGCCATATTACTGACTATCCCATGCACGCTGCCACCATGCATGTAATGTTCTGTCTCCTGTCTCTTTAATATCAAAAAGCTAACCCTAACTACAGTAGGTATGAGTTACCTACATAGGAACCTAATTTACATTATAATAATTACTTGCATATAATAATACTAATTAGCTATGCTACAATAGGTACGCCCTGTTCATTTACAACTTTTCCTTCGAAAGCAAACACACCGCGATGAATCCAACGGACGATCAGATAGCTTTTCGTTTACGAAAGCTAAAGACACACTTCGCTTGTTTAGATCTGACTAAGGATGGGCATATTTCCAGAGAGGACTACGAACTCATGGCAAAGAAAACGAATGAATACAGCAAAGCCACTGGTGAGCAAGCTGAATCATGCAACAAGGCATATCGGCATGTCGCAGATGTTCTTGGGTTTGATCCAGGAGTAAAAATTCCCAGAGAGGAGGCAATAAAGAAGGCAAGTGAAATGATGTTGAACGAGCCTTGGGAAAAACAGAAGGAAATGTGTTTCAACGCTTTCAGTATGATTTTTGATGCCATTGACCTCAACAAAGATGGCCACATCTCGCTGAAGGAGTTCAAAATTTGGTATCAAATGCTTGGTCTTGATATTTCAGACGAAGACAAAGTCAAGTCTTTCAACTTGATTGACGTGAATCAGAATGGTGAAATAGGTCGCCAGGAATTCCTCGAAGCATCGTTTGAATATTTACACGGAATTGAAGAGAATGAGTTGTCCAAGACATTTTATGGACCTTTACTAGATTAACTCAATTTTGATTTTATTGAGCGTTTCTCTTGCCTTGTAGATCGTGTTAAATACTAATTCATCAATAATGTTTATAATTTATTGATACGCTTGCTATACAAGAGCATTCCATTCGTTAACACAATATATACGACATTTTTCCCTGGGTGTGACGTCATTTAATTAGATTTAATTATAAGACAAGATGGCGGACATCTCGTCTGTTCCAACCTGGTATTTCGGGAACTAAGCAAGATACGATAAAACTTAAAATACAGTTTTCGGAGTTCTTCTAAATAAGACAAACTAATTTTTATTACCAATTTCATTTAATAAAGTCTTTGTTTACTTAGTGCGCGGTTTCAAAGATCTGTTCACCCGACCCAATTCGGTTACTAACTAAAAAGTATTGCTTAGTGGCGTAGCCAGCCTGACGATTTAGTCATGCCTTACATTATTATCACTATTCATTTCTTTAGAAATTCATTGTTGTCACAGTCAATGAACACCAAAATATTAGCATAGCATGACTAAATTGCATGTCGGGCTCGCAACGCCACTGGTATTGCTTCATACCAAATCCAACTCACCTCTTGCACGTTTTCAAGCAACTTTACCGAGTGTTCGTTTTCCTTCACATGTGTCGTTTTCACTTCAACCAAAGACTCCAATGATTCTCCGACTGATGTAACAACAACAGATGGTGTATAACTACTGTCTGATGAATCAACTGTCATCAATAGTTTATGAATCAGGATGTCAGGATATAGCTCAAGATTTATCCAATGCTAGGCAAAAAAAGCAAAATTCGGTATTATACCTATACATTAGTTTCACATGTTTTGGGATAGTCATGTGTAGTTTAATAGTTTCGGGCTTCTCTAAGACTGTAGTTCGCAGAACTGCAATATTCTAATGATACAGTACGAAAAAAATCCTTTGTTGATACTTCATTGTATCACCTCAACCGGATCATAGCGACACGTAGAACTAACGACTTTGAAACAAAGGAATACGCTGCGGTTCCGCCACAATACGGTTGAAGTGGAAAAGAGACCTAAGTGAATAACCGAAATCACTGATGTGCCCCATCAGCATGCAGCTTTATACAAACTGACCTTTCCTTGTGGTCCAGAACTTTGCCAATAAGAATCAGTTCCATCAAAGAGTCTTAACTTAAGTCCTTCACGAGAGGATACTGTGATTTGTTTAATACATCGTGTCCATTCCTTGATCAGTTCTGTACGTCGAACACGTTTTTCCCTCCTTCTTGTCTTGCCAGACTTCCCAACGTTGACAGGTGTACTGTCTTCCTCGGGTAAACACAGAAAAGAGTGTTTGTGTGAACGAGTTTCAAAGCAGTTCTTACAGAGGTCGTAGTCAGAGCATACTCTACATTTATAACGTGGTCCCTCCACTGGATGCATATGACATGAGAAACACCTGGTAAAAAATAGCGAATGGTATAAGAATTTGATTGCAAGAATTTCCTTTCACGTCAAACCAGTTCACTGCGTCAAACTAACTGATATGCAGTGAAGAAAGGAATAATATTAAACACAACTACCTGACTCAACCTAAATCTACGTACATTCTATTTTGTGGTCGGTAGGAATGAATAGTAGAATATACAGAAACAAAGAAATCAGTTTGTGATGCTTTTTACATACATCAGGCAGTAAAAAAGTTTAATTAGGGGGCTAGTTCCTCCTGTACTTCGGAAAATGCCTCAGAATGACTTACGTTACACCATTATGCCTGACTGGCACGAGTTCCATCTCACTCTCAAGTCCTGTCCAATTTGCTTGTTGTTCAAAATCCACTTTGACATCTTTGCCATTGCTACTCACTGATATAACAGTACCAATACTTGCATGATTCACTGTTCCCCACTTATACTTTGGTGTGGTCACAGAGGCTTTGACCCTTACACGATCTCCGACTTTGAAAGGACGACCGCCAACTGGATAAAAACGAAAGAGAAAAAATTAACTTTTCCAACCGTACCTTTAAAGACAAAATTGAACACGAGAAGCCGTAATTCGGTCCCTCTTCGTCTACTCAACATACTTCTCATACAATTATTCGTGTTTAATTTCATACTACGGTAATAGCTGTATACATCACTAACAGTATATACTTGTATATAAAAAGTTACTCTGACACAAATGTCCTAAAGTATATGCAAGTCGTTTTATAAGTTCCTCAGGTTAAACTAAAGACCCATATACCAGTCCCTATTACTTATTTTTCAAACTCCAAAGTAAACGATTTCGGTTATCGGATTGAATAACTGATTATATATAGTTAAGAGGTAACTACCCAATACATCTGTAATTCTCATTTTACTAATATTCTTACCAGTGGTATCAAATCCAAGCAACTGGACATGAACATATCTAACCCAGTACGTGCCACCTTTTCTTTGCCAGTTTACTTGTACATTTAAATCATCCAAACCATCACGATCAAGCTAGCAAAGAAAGAAAAATTCTCATGGTTAGCTTTGGTCTCATGTTTATACAGTTCAGGTCGATCAGGGTTCCTCGCGATGCACCCCAAAAATTGCTAATTGACGCAAATTGATTGAAATTGAGGTGAATGCATAAATAGTACTAGCATCGTATTATGATAAGCGCCGCGGCGCCTATGAATGTGTAAATAAACGCCATAAATTTTTTTTTGAACGCGCTAACCGTTGCATAATTACTTAATGTCTGCCAGCTCTCTTTGCTGACAGCTATAATAAAATCCTTGAAATCCATATTTAATCGTTTTTTTTGCATTTTTTATAGCCTTTTTGCTCTTTCATGTCTTAACCGGGCATATCTATTTACAAATTCTAAAAGAACTACTTTTCAATATTTCCACGCCTTATTTGGATAGTTGTATGGTCAAAAATGTCCACGTTTGAGTCTGGAGGGAGATACAACGAGCACGCTAGAAGCGGTTCATCATTGAAAGCCAACTTTACATGGTGTATAAAAAAAACGCAACACTAAATCATTACGTATATCCGATCTTTTGTGATCGAACAGAAAGCGAATATACATGAATATTTGCGGGATTTTTTACATTCTTGTTGGGCATCAGAGATCAAATAATTTATGTTAGCATAAATTTAATATTGTTTCATTTCTAGGCCTTGCAGTACATTTGGGGATGCGAGTTCCTGTTTTAAATGAATTAATGATTTACTTAGGAGAACCTTTGTAAGGATACAGCTATATTACTGTATGCGCCAAATTTCTATACGAATGCATGTATGTCGCAATCCACGCTTTGATACCTAATCACGCTTTGATACCTAATCTGTGGGCGTATTAATTATTTACATTATTCGAAATATATTAGTTCTGAAGCAGTACACTAGCTATATATAGTGATCGTCGTATTGCAAACATGGCTGTGCTTTTAGTTGTAACAAACTGTGGTGAAATACCCGGCATAAATCATAAAACAGGCTGGTATCTTCCCGAGGTCGCCCATCCATATAAAGTCTTTAAGGATGCCGGTATCCCCATGACAATTGTCAGCCCTCGTGGCGGCAAAGCGCCATTGGTAAGTCTGCAGTATATTGAGTTTTCATTTATATATTTGTCTATAAAATTCACTTTTGCCCACTACTTGTGGACGTCACAAGTTCTAGGGAATATCTTGAAGGGGTCAGAAGATACGAGATGTACTATATCATCTTTACATCCAGAAGCGGTAGTAAAACGTCGCTGAGTCGCCGACCCTTTATGTACACACTCAAGTCTCAAATTGCACCAAATTAACTGTGATCAAATCAATGTGGTATAACAACTGGCTAAAACACTTCTCAACGATTCGACCTAACTCCTGAGGGACGTCGTCGTTATAGTAACTCTACTGAGAAAGTCCCTCGGGACTCAGGTCGAAACGTCGAGACGTGTTTGGTTGCCTACTGGTTATATTGGAACTTATCCACAAATCCTGTATTTACAGAAAATAATTTATGCTTTACAATCTATTTATAACCAGGTCACCCTCTAGATCTTACTGTTACCGTCGACACGATAATTGATATCGCATTATAGAACGATCTGTTTATATTTATATCATTAATTTATAACTCCTTTTGTGCATGTTACCAAAAGGACCCTGGAAGCGTGGAAGCTTCAAAACAAGACCCAGTCTGCACATCATTACACGCAGATAAAAAATGGATGGAATTATTCGACAATACGTCTGCAATAACTGATATTGATATAACTAAGTACAACGTGATATTCTTCGCTGGTGGTCATGGACCTATGTTTGATCTGCCTCAATGTGAACCGTTGAACAATGCAGCAACAAAGATATATGAAAAAGGTGGTATAGTTGCAGGTGTATGCCATGGAGTTGTAGGTAGGCTTCTGTCGACGTTCCGCATGATTAATTAAAAATGCATACTTGCATGCGGACCCACGCAGCGCGAGTTCTATACAGGGTGTATAAAAAACCCCGGCAAACTCTTTCGCAATCAAATGTTGATAAAAGTTCACATATTTTGGAGTGATTGTAGCCAAGGTGCGTAAAAACACGATTCATCATGCTCGGGGATGTATTGTTAGGGTTAGGATTAGCAAGGAAATCCCGAGGAAAGTGAATTTTGTACATGAAAGAAACAAATTCAATTTTGTGGCTATTCGAGAAGCAAGGGATTAAACGTACTTTGAAATCCCAGAAGTATAATTAATTACATTGAAATGCTATTTGCAATATCTACTGCAAATTACGGTGCATGTTTGTACTTTTTTGATACACCCTGTTGTATATATGCCCCACTGAGATACAGTGAACACAAGATGTACCCTAATAACCCTGAGCTTTTGAGCTGTTTTCAAAAATTCACTATTCGTGTCTTTGTAGAGAAAATCTAACGATAATTTCTCAATGTAGGCATGGTCAATGCGAAACTGTCAAACGGAGAATGGTTAGTTAAGGGTCACAAAGTAACATGTTTCACCAACGAAGAGGAAGACCTAGTTAAGTTAAGTGAAGTCATGCCCTTCATGCTCGAGACAGCATTGGTAGAACATGGAGCCATATTCGACGCAGCCCCACCATTTCAAGAGAAAGTTCACGTATCTGATCGTATCATAACTGGCCAGAATCCAGCATCAGCCACACCAGTTGCACAACGAATGGTAGAAAAAATGAAAGAACTCAAGTTTTAAAAATCCTCATAGGCACAACGCATGCAAGAGCTCACGTTTTAGGAATCCTCGTCGGTACAGCACTTCTCCGAACAGTAGAATCAAGTAAATGCACTCATCTTAACGTCCTAACTAATAGTATAAAAATAAAATCGCTGTGCAAACATTGATTTAAGCCATTGGTATTTTTTCTGAGTAAATTATCGCAAGTAAGTTTCCTGAGAACGCCAAACATTATTTATATGTAACTCCTCCCTTGGGAAAATTCGGTCAATTCACCTATGGAATGTAGTCGGTCGTTGATAAAGCAATACTGCACTGGCTTTATTGGCGTTTCGCTGTCCAAATACAATGTCAACAACTATATAAAGGGTTGTTCACACGATCCAATTTTGTCGCATCTAATTCACTCTTGATGGATATTTTATGGTCTGTTGACTATCCATTATTTCATGTGAAAACATCTACTCTCACACAACTCTCGACACAATTCTCATCACAACTCTCGTCTACATCTTACGACTCTTACCTTAACCACTTTTCCAACGTCGCCTTCATGCACCTCCTCGTATGTTCTACAACACTTGACAGTCATGCCAACCTGCACCTTATCTCTGACGTACTTCGCGTACTCTTCGTTATCTCGGAAATGACTTCTATTCTTATAAACAACCGCCATTCCATTACAATGTTCACTTGACGCTTCGCCTTCGCTCAGACTACTGCTCGAGTTACCACCGCCATCTTCATTATCTGAAGAGATGCATTCCGTCTCTTCAATCTCAGGAATCTGACAAGAAAAACAAAGGAAACATCTCAGTTTCATTTGAATGTAAGAATGTAAAAAAACATTGAGTGATTTCTATATGTTGCCAACATAGAGAAAGTTTTCTACATGTATGAGTTTGCGGGTTCATTGGTATACCTTTTTAAGTACGTATCATCTCAAGTGCAGGATCTATTGCAATGTCAACTGCAAATTTACATATTTACCACAGAAGTGTCTTTATTTTTAAACGTACCTCGGGGTGGTCTAGCAACCAAGCGACAACCATTTCGGGACGAGGGTGTTCCACCTTAAGTTCCTTGACAGCATATTCTACATGACCCTGAGGAAATCCCATTTCAACACATTTCGCAATGACTGGATCGGATACTTTCGAAAGAGATCGTCTTCCCTGCACTGGTGATTTACCACCCTTTGGGCTCTCACCCTTGTTGTTGCCAGAGCTTGTCGGACTTCCAGTGGTATCCGCCTCACACGGTATTGGACTGTATGCTTCTGCAGCCAGATATTGGCAAGTGGAAAGGGCGGCAGCCTAAAATGTTTGGTAAGAACAAGCAAAAACCTTACCTTCTCTCGGGTCGTTAGGGTGCTTTTACTGCGCATCTTTTTCAAGTATTCTTGTATGATGACCGCAAGAGATTGTAGGAAGATAGACATGCAACAATAATTTTCATTATGGCGGATTATGAAAACCTTACCTCTAACTCTTCTCGACCAAAAATAGGTTTAATTGGCGACGGCTTTACCGCAGTTTGCATCAACAGTTGAAACAGCGTTTGCGATGTTCCACCTGCGGTCTCTGAGGAAAGGATGATCTTTCTGAGGTGTTCCTGAGGGCTCAGTAGAACACGAACTGCCTTGAGCAGGCCAAGGCATATTTGCTGTTTCCTTAATAACGCTGTATCGATAACGTCGAATACTCCTATTAAAGAGGATAAAATATATTATCATCACTACCAGAAACCATTTGTGTTACGTGTTAAACAAGTACATGGTGCCTAACACAACCATAATGCTGTTAAGTTTTATGAGGCGTATACATATTCATTTTAAATGCGCTGGTCCTGAATTCCACAAAATCTAAACCGATTCTCCTCAACACCCACCTCTCACACCAACTACAATTAACTTCAAAACGAAATGCTGTTTTCCGTTGTGGTCGACTTTTCATTGGGGGAAGGGTGCACTGCCCAATACTTTTGCAATATTTAAATGCGCACCTTTTAATAACCTAATTAATCAGTGTTTACACAATCGAATACCTTGAGAGAATGTCGCTCCAGATACTTCTTCATTAGATGCGGTGGTATACTCCTTCGTTTCCGATGTCAGTACACCCTCGCCAGTTAATCTGACTAAAGATGACCACATGTTCAACATACTGCCACACGCGTTCAGACGTTCAACACAAAACGATATCACAGGAATCTACGAAACATCGCATGATTAGATATCTACATTATAGTGTAGCTTTCTAGTAGATAACACTTGTTATTATTAGGACAAGTCCTGACATTTGCAATTAAGTTCTAATAAGATAAGTGAATGATAAAACAATTATTGAACGAGGTTGAGCAAAATATCGTGATTTGTCGGTGGCGAAGGCAGGGGCAAATAATTGATCTGCGAGATTAATATTTGTAGTATAAGAAAAGAAGTGGAAAACCTATGAAGGACAGAGGACAGAGGAGATTAATATTTGTAGTATCAAAAAAGAAGTGGAAAACCTATGAAGGACAGAGAACAGCCCTCTCTTATGCTTCATTACATACCGACTTCAGTTGTGTAATAGAACAGGTGTGTACTTCATTGCTTCCTTGACATTGCATGGTAATTTTACCATTAGCCGTAATACGCGAAACGGTACCAGCACCATGATCATTATGATGAACCATACCACCTAAACGTGGTCGACTGTCCACGCCACCAATGACAGCGAGAGCCGCCATTATACCTCCTTCTACAGGCTCATCCTCTGCATTTTCTGACATCGTCTAAAGAAAATTTGCTATCTTTTAATCAAAAATTTAAAATTAGAACAAAAAAGATCATGTTATTCAAAATACCCCGTCAAAATTATTGAGCAATGCACAGACCATGCATGCACTGTGCCAAATTAAACTGCTTACATACTTTAGCTTGTGATGCAGTTTCGGCGATGGAATTCAATCTTGCACTAATAAAGTCGTTGATAAAGTGATTCCAGTAATCAAATGAATGAAGATGACGAAGCAGTACCACTAATTCTTCAGCTACTGTACTGCTGTGTGAAGCTGTTAGCGATGCTCTCGGTTTAGATCTTCTCCCTTGCAATCTCTTTTTTCTACCTTCAAAAGGTTTTTTGAAATATGAATCATTATACTGATGCTGCTAGCCATGCCTATACAAGTACTTTCGAAAGATAAACATCCGTGCCAATCATTGATTTTATGTGTTCAAATATTCAAATATTTGATTTTATGTGTTCAAATGTTCATGATTTCATCAATGAATGTATTTCCACTTACAGGGCCGTCGCCAAAAGTTTAACTGGGATGTGTATACTGCATATTCATTCGTCTTACATGCCCATTTTACATTTACATTTACAAATGTTGGAGATTCGGGTACTCACCATCAAAAGGGAGCATTCCTGTACATGTCATCAAGACACGACCAAGCAAAGTGAAAAGTTTCTCAATCAACGTCGACATTTCTGCTGAATAATTTTCTCCGTCCCATGAAGGAAGAACAACACGCATCAGTCGTAATGTAAGAATCTAACATAAAAGCACGTGGATATTGTTCAGTCACAATTATTCAATAGAAAGTGATTACGTTTAGGAAAGTAATGCCCTAGCTTCTGGAAACCGCTTTTAGGAAATTGCAAAAAATTGATATTGATGTACAGTACCTGTTTCGGTAACTGAGTTATTAATTTCGTCTCCTGCAGTGTCTTAAGTTCGGCATTAACCGGACTACAAAAGTTTGCTTCTCCCAAATTACCGCCCACAATACGTAGAAATAAACTGATCCAATGGGAAGAACTGAAGACCTTGCTTGCAGATGAAGTCAATGTTATTCCACGTATACAACCTAACTTCGCCCATTCATGATGTTGTTGTTGATAGATTGTATCTTTTTCATTTTCTAAAATAAATATTACGCATCGATAAAAAAATTACGGTTGAACAAGTTCACACGAACAAGATCTATTAATACATGCGATAAGATCACTGATCTGAAATCAGTGGATAGGATGAACAAAAAGAGTTTCATAAGGCAAAAACACTGATAGGAAATTTATATCTTATCTTTTCTGCGATTTATTTCAAATTTATTCCCAAATTAATTAATCAATTTAAGGTAGCTCGATACAGTTTTTCGAAAATTTTAGATGCACATTTTAAATAGGGATATTAAGCATCTAAATATATCGAGAAACTGTATCGAGCCACCTTAGTTATTGTTCACCAAAAACGAATCATGATATTGCGTGTAAAATAAACACATACCTGAGCTCCCTTTATCCAAAATAGTCAACAGAAGACCAGAAACAGTTTTCAATGCATTGATTGGAACATCCTCAGCATGAATACCAGTTGAAATAATTAAACAGCGTAATAATTTTAAGGTGGCACGACGTATTAGGACAGTTGGATGTGTGGATAACTTTCCGTCATTAGATGATCGCATGTTTCGTCTTTTGTCAACTGCGTATAAATATCCAAAATTAAATTTAATGTCGAAGTACGTTAATAAGCTGATATAAGTTCCCCATGCATCCTCACATAGGCGTAAATGTCTTAATTTTGAATAGAAAGAAAACAACAAATTCACAAAATCCAAGGAAAAAGGCAAATACTATTAGAATTTAAAAGAATAGTGCTGAAAATTCTTAGGAATCTGCCATTCGTAAGAAAACAAAGGCGGCAACAAAATATTGTGTGAAATTATTCAAAAGTGACCTGAATTTAGCAAAATACTTCTATCTAACGATTTATTTTGCAATTCAAGATCGCGCGGCCACGGCAAAAGCAGTTAGGAGCGACATCATTTGACAATTAACAACAATACCAATTCAATCGCTTTTTACTAAACCATTTCTTTTGAGTCTCTCTTTCTTTAGATTTTCTAACGATTTATTATAAAATGCCATTTTTAAGCGATTTGACAACTGCATTAAAGCCAAATATAGTTTAACTATTTTTTTTATAATTTTTAGAATGCATTACCTGGCTTAATCTCTTCCTCTTCCTCTTCACTACTCTCGGGTATTGGAGGCGGTCCTGCCAGTTGTAGATCATATTTCCCTTCTTTTCCCATACGATAGGAGTTAGTACAACCAGTATCCCACTGAATTCGTACCCAACCATCTTCACCAAGTTCACCAACAACACGACCTTCACCCGGTGGTTTGCCATCCTGAAATGATGCGAAGTCTCAGGAAAAATCCCGAACATGCAGGGACCCTTATTTTGTCGCCTGACGACGGCACGTGTAAACGCCTATAAGGGAATACAATTGAATGATTGCAACATACTTGATCGCCCCATTTCCAGTCAGGACCTCGTATCACTTTAGTTCCAACTTTCATCATTCGTGCCATTTCTGGTCCAACCGTTGGTAAAGGTGGAGGTGAACGTGGTTTCTTGTGTTCGTCAATAATCGATGCCGCTATCATTTCATTGTCGTCATTATTGTCATCAGATGGTCCTGCTAGCCGTAAGATTGTCTATAATGTCGAAAATGGAATTCGCCTCAGTAACCCAAACCCCAGTGTCAAGACGATGGAGTCACGCATAGCACATCCATGAAAATTACAATCATTAACAGCCAAAATTCAATCTCCATTAAAAAAAAACAATGTGACTGTCAACAAAGGACCGGTGTCTTACCTGTGAAAGAGCAAGAACGCCAGAATTGAGCAGCAAGCTGACTCCAGCAGCAGTATGTTCGACAGTTAGCATGGCAAGTGTAGCCATCATAAAGCGAGCACAAGGCAATACACCCAGAGACATGTCAGATGTAGATCTTCGTAAATTATATTGTGACTTCTTGTAAGTATCGCCTGCTTCCAACACGGAGTCTCGGAGTAGGTTTATGGACCACTGGTCAATCTTTGTAAAGGCGTTGTCCAGTACAACTTGATCATAAGGAGGAATTAATTTTACATCTGAAAGGTTTCGTGGCACAGGAGACCTAAAACGGAATACAGACCTTAATCTGGATAAGAATGTATCTCGACGTCACTCTCTTCATTGTCCATGCAGTAAGCTATGACTTTAGAACTATACACACACTTGTTCGACCAAAGTAGATGCATGTATATACAGTCGGAGAATGATATCTCGATATTTTTCTTCTTCTAAGAATTTACCACTAATAATTTTTCACTATAGCAAGACAATTCACGTGTACCGACCTTCTTTTTAAAGTATTCGTTGACAATCCCTGCCACCCGCATAAAATGGCGTATTTGACAGAATCAAGTAAGCCTTTATTTATCAGTGACAACAAAAAGTGAGTTCCTTCCAAACGAAGCCGTGCTCTTTTCACCTAATAATGATATATTGCAATTTCTGTTCTGCATTCTATTTCAAGTATTTCTACTCACATAGATAAAGAGCATCATAACAATTCTCACAAAAATAACTAAATTTCTCTGCATTCACCTGACACTCCATTGCATTCATGATCTTCTCGAGGTTTATTTTCTCTTCCTTTAAAACAAAATCTTTAATATGATTCATCAATACTGTGGCAGAAGAACTGTTTGTCACGCGTTCGCGAAGCCATTTGAATTTCTTGATATTTGTCAGAGCTGCCGTCGGGACCGTCAATGAGGCCTGCATGATAACATTTTCAAAGTAGAAAATACAACTTTAACCAACTTCAGTTCTACACATAATGTCACTTAACATCTCTTCCATAATTATATGTATTTTCCAATCTCTACTTTATAAAGAAGTCTTGGAAGGCATTAATGAACAGTATTGGCCAAAGCAACAAATTATGAAAAACTTGGTTACCATGGCAGAACTAGAAATGTCGATATCACCACCGAAATTAAGTTACTTTTAGCCTAAACCTTTTTATAAAACAAGCATTTTGAGAATACAAAACTTTATTAAATTAGGAGATATCCTATTATTTTCGCGCACCTCTTGCTCTTGTTTAGACTCCTCCAGCACTGCCAACCTTAGTGCAACGCGTTCAACACTGAAATCCTCGTCTCTTTCCATCTCCTGACTTTCTCGACCTTGCACACTTCCTTTTTCACCTTCCTTAGATTTCCTGTTTTCTTGAATCACTTGAGACACCAAACGTTTCCATCGAGGAATCATATTGAGTAGCCTGAGTTTAGATAAAGCTGCCAATTCACCCGACACGGCAGGTCGTAGTATTTGAAGCAGGAAATGACATCTCTCCAGCGCGGGAATACACACTTCTTCATACGATCGGAAGGATTCTTGATGAGACTGAGGAAAAGACAATTCTCATGACAAATCTGTGTGTTGGGGTTAGAAGAACGGATGGACGAAAGAATGTAATAAAAAAGTATGAACTATACTAAAAGGTCTACCATATACACTGTGCTGTCGATTTGTATTATATTTCGTTTTTGTCAGTCTTAGGGTACCTTGCTGTGCAGAGAGGTTTATTAAGAGGGGTTTGATACCGTAGAGAATATGACCTCGAGTTTAAAAAACCCAATATCATTTCTATCAAAAAAGTTTCTTGGCATAATTTATCACAGTACACATCGACAATTTATTATACGAACCTTAATAAGATTACATTTGGCTTGATGAGTAACTCTTAAGACTTGCACTAAGGATGCTGGATAATGACTGTGTTCTGTAGATGACGACAATTCACCATCGGGTAATTTATCCAGGTCTTCATGTTCAATCAACGATAGCGCCATAGGAACTACAATGACAGAATAATCTTTGTTTACTCAATACGTCGTACTGTGGTTCAAATAAAAAAAATGGAAATGAATCATAAATCCTCTCGAGGCTAATGATATTAAACCTTCGCCTCTGATGTCGCTCACAAGACTGTAGTGGGGTATTTTACATACCAAGTTCCTGATGTTTTAACAAGCAAGCAAGGAACAACCGTCCAAATTGTTCGATAGGATGATCAGCAGGAAATTCAAGTGGCATTATTATTCTCTTTACATGACAACAGCGTTTCACCAACGAAAGAAACTTCTCAACGCTGTTGTCTTTGAAGTTTTCAGACAGGTTCGTTATGAACATTTTAACGGCATCGGAATGTGGAGCATGCGCACCGTCACGATGAGTTCTCTTGAGAATTTTCTGGAAACTCTTCTGTCCGCTAAGGTGAAGCAATGTCATAAGAATCACGTGTCTTTACAATGACGCGCATGCTGTAACTATACATTTATTGCAAGTTAATGAATATAACAATCTCTTGAATGAAACATTTTGAACACCAAAGAAGCTGTGTGGATACAGTATATTCTCAAAGGGGCATTAAGTAAGATAGCCTTACTGATTTTTCATGTCGACCAGTTATATCGCCAACAAGCGAATGTCTAGAAACGCGCACATGCATTTAAGGACTACAAAATCCAGGAAGAGATCTTTCCTGAATTTGATTTCCCACAAAAAAACACAAACTTGAAAAAGGGGCAAGCAATGTAACTTATTGTTAGTTGTACATTACCAGAGAGTGAATTGTGAAAGTGACTGTTTAATAGTTCAAAAAATTGAGTACCCTAAATCCCAAAATTAACTAAACAATAAAAACAAGCTTATTACCCCTCATTTTTCTTGTCTTTTGCTTGTGGGACTGCATAACATGTCTCTAGACCTCCAGCGAAGAAATCACTAGTCAACCATGGATCACAATCTTCTTCATCAGCGGTCATTGCTATTCCCTGGCACAGTAGGTGGGCATGGTGACCAAGAAGAAAGGCAAGTGAACGTTCTGTGTCTAGTAATGGTGCCAATACTGATGGTGCTACATCACATTGGGCTTGTTCTTCCTGTTATAATGAACATAAGGTGATGCGAATCACTACTATTTCACTTAATGCAATAAGATGTGAATCACACCTTTAAATCGTTATAACACAATGTTAATTTGAATATTTACGACAAACCTCCATGTAAACACCAACACAAAATGCCTGCATCATGTCTCTTGCTTCACTCGAGTGACTGGCTCCTTCAAATGCTTCTGTAGCATCTTGAGCTAAAAATAACAAACCAACAAATAAAATTATTTATATTCTAATTCCACATTGGAGGTATAATACTCTTCTTCGCGATCTGAAATAAAAGGCTTTTTCAAGAAAATTGGCGCGGAAAAGGTACAAGAGTAAAAGTTGAATAAACGATCGAGATCGTAGCAATCACCTGCATATTTGGATAAAAGTTCTTTTCCACACGGTGCCTAGCAAGCAAAAAACAAGCGTTATCACTCAAACATTTATGGTACAGTACATATAGGGCTATTGTTTTTTTAATCACGTACTAATTACAAGGCGGATAGACTAAATAATAGATTAAATTGTTCCTTACAAGATCCATACCCAAATTCCTATACCCTATGTAAATTGTATTAGAAGGATTTAACATACTTGATCTTTGAATTCTTGCAAATCAAAAACTTTGCCATGAATAACAACCCACATTCCACCTTCTTTATTGTGATTTTCCAGATCAGCTTTTTCAATCACAACTTCGGCAGAATTGTCGAAACTCATTGACGATGAACTCCCTAATATATACCAACAAACAAATGAAGTTATTTCTTGAATAATTCAAAATATAATCATTTTCTTCTTCTAATGCAGGTGTGGATCGCAATTTAAAGAACTTACAAACCACATAGTTCATATATAAAAAAAACACATCACTGCATCCACCATGCAGCAAAAAACGCAACCAAAGAATGCACTTCTTTATAAACGCTATACTTTAGAACCCTTTCCAAGCAAGTCACAAATTACCGTCAGTGAAGTCGGAAACAAACTAATGCACCGGATGAATGAACAATACTAAATATTCTCTCTCTCTCGGAAGGCATTCTTTTAGATGATTTAAATTATTGTGTAATTACCTAGACCGCCTGGCCAAGCCAAGTCTTCACCGTCTTCCAGAGCTATGTTTGGCACCAATTTATTAAATTTATCTAACAACTCCAGGAGATCTCGTAAAACAGGAAATACGGAGGAAAGTCCAGTTCTTCTACCAATATGTGTGTGAAGTAGTAAGAGTGATGTTATAAACTCGGGGAGTAATACGGCAGGCATTTCTTGTTCGATGATATGAGAGATATGTGGAAGAAGATTTGCAGTATTTGCATAGTTGTGAGCTTGAACTAAAACCTGAGTGACATGACAACACAATAGCTGGATGTACTTGTTAAGAAGACTAAACGAGCCTCGAAGTTGCTCGTCCTGAAGTTCTGAAACAAAAAAGAAATCAAAAATTGAAACTGGAACATGATAACATAAAATCGGCTAGCATGCACCACCGTGCACAGGGTGGCCTACAATTAATATTAAAGATAAAGATGTCAAATAGATTTTCCTTGTCTTTTTAACAGTTTTAAAATCGAATGTTTATCTTGCTGTCTTTCATGATATGTTCTGAATTCTGAATTAGAAATCGATGATCGCGATCATGATACTTAGCCAAACCTCATCACATGCACTCTATGCGTTCACTACTAACAATATATACACAATCTAACGTCAATCTTACATGATTAATCCTTAATTACATTTATTAGATTTATCGATTGGTTTAATATTACAGTATAGGCAATAATACAGAAATGTTCATAAGAAGATACGAACAAAGCTGGTCATTTTTGTGGTAGACGTTTGTTTTCCCATTGAAACAGCTATAATTCATGCACCTCACACGAAGGCAACGAAAAATGCACTGTTAACAAGCAATGAGCTAATGAGACACACCTTTATCACCGCCGTTTGATTCACGATCCGTCATGAAGATCGTTAAAATGCAGCCAACAAATAATCTTTGCAGTTTTAACAACAACTCCATAATTGCATTACGATTTCTTGTCTTATTGTCCTCAACTGGCGCATCGGATCGCGTTTTATTCGCATGAAAACGGGATAAGCATTTGTCGACACAGGTCCTGAGAAGTTCACGCGCCAATTGTAATAAAGGCGTACTGTTCGATATGTCTGAAATACCACCAGGGTTGTCGTTTTTGTCCTGGGACAATTCGCTTTTTACGGCATTTTGAAAAGCTCTTTCCAAATTGCCCTCAACCATGAGACTTTGAATGAGAAGATCTATCATGAAATCACGACCAGAGCCTGTATCTGTGTTATCACTGGAACCTATGAAATGAAAAACAAAATTTACCACGGAATATAGAGATCATGAATATGCACCCTTCAACTAATTAAGCTTCTAGCGACGGCCCTGGCAACAGTGTACTGTTCTTCTAGCTGGTACTGTCAAAAGCATTCTTCTCATTTTTAATTTGTTACTTTATATATAAATAATCCAATTTTCATACCAAATAAAGCACGAACTTGGTCTGTGGTTAAAAGTTAACAAATAGCATCACTTCAGTTGAAATCTCACGGTGATAACTTACCAAGTTTCTCAGCGAGTAGTTCTGATAATGTCTTAGCTCTTTCCTCCGTAGTCGGTAGAAGTAATGACCATCCACTGTTTAACGTTCCCTTGGCAGCATCTTTGACAGTACTCAAAACACCTTTACTTACAGCTAACATAACAACTTGCTGTCTTAAAGACTGAAGAAGTTTACTGCCAGCACCAAGACCAAGTTCATCACCACTCACACCTTCACGAATAGCTGTATGAAACTAAGAATATATCACAGTGATATTAGCTGACATGCGGCTTTTGAGATTTTAAACATTTGCGTTAACCATCATGCTGTAGATGACAAAAGAAGAGTGCAATTACAAATGTAAAATAAATATAAATAAAATATTATACATATAGATACCTGTAATCGCAAAAGATTCAATGCGGCCACGGCAATACATTCTTTCTCCTGAGCGGGTGGTGGCCAATCTCGTGTGCCATCTAAATCCTCGCTCACTCTTCGCAACAAAGCATCCAGATGCTCAAAAGTCTTTTTTGTAACATCGACAACATATGGAGCTTTGAGACCAACGCAGGTGTTCTTCCCACTTGACCATGCGAAACTCTGCAAAATAAGACCAAGGATACTTTCGTAACGGGAAATTGAAAACGCAGTAATTATGTAGGCTGTCACTGTCACTGTCACAAGTAATGATGATGTAGTCGAGTCTACCTGAGCTGGACCACAGGCAACATATTGAAACAATGTTCCTTCATTTGCTTGTACTTCAGTAGGAGTATCCTTCGCCTCTGAGCTTGATATCCCCAGTTGTCCTTTATCATTCCCACCCCAGGCATACACCTTGCCTTCACCTGTCAATGCAAGACAATGAACTGAACCCAAGGAAATATCAACGACCTCCTTTCCTCGCAACGCTTCAATCACTTTGGGAAAACGGCAGTGTTCATCAGAGCCATGTCCAAGCCTAAAATCATCACCTTTTCCCCTGAAATAAATAAATAACATTACCGTTGGTGCACGAGCAGAATTGGTATATGTATATCCAGGCCTTAAACAACAGTTCACTCACCAGGTCCATATATTTCCTTCTTTGGTAAGAACGAGAGAAACTTGACCACCGCAAAGAACTTTAACAACATGTTCAGTCTGGAATTTATCAACTAATTTCGGCGATTTGCAACTGTCACTTCCGCCTCTTCCAAGTTTACCATAGTCACCATCACCCCACGACCATACCTTACCTGATGAGCAAAAACATAACTCCAGTGAATGAATTTGATATATGCATATTTAAACGGTGACCAAAATGAGACGACCTACCATCTTTCGTGACAGCTAATGTCTGGGCATCGCCACTACCACAAGCAACATCAACAACATGATGACCTTTAAGACCACTCACCAGGGTTGGGACCAACACATCTTCACTATTGCCTGGAACGAACCATACAACGAAGAGCCGTAAGCGTTGATTTCCACTTACAGAGAAATTATTAGTTATCAAAATATTTGCACATTCAATTTGAATTTTGACTGTATTAATGAATTACTCCATAAATGAAGTACAGGACATGACTGAAGTGGAAATTTTAGGAAGTAGAAAGTCGAAATTCATCCTAAGGGCCTGTTTACATGGAGCGAGTTATCCCGGCTAGGCGAGATAAAAAGCGCATCACATGAAAGGTTTAACTTTATTAGTCTTTTATTATATAACAGTTTTCACCTCGCCCAGCCGGGATAACTCGCTCCATGTAAATAGGCCCAAAGAAGCAAAACAAATGTATAGTGATGTAATGTATAGTAAATACGATACTGTCTTACCATGGCCGAGTCGACCATAATTCCCACGACCCCAGGTATATAAATTTCCTTCAGCAGATATGGCAGCACTGTGCGAACTTCCACAGCTAATTCCAACGATATTTTTACCAGACAGAGCAGTCACGAGAGTTGGTTCTTCTCGAGAACTAAACATATTAAGAACAAAACAGGTTTTCTTGTCAAGTTGGCATTCTCTGGCATGGTGAACAACCTTTCCCTGAAAGCATTTAGATTTTGATTCTTTTCGCCAACGGTGTTGCACATACCGTACAATTACCGTGGTTACAATACAAGTAGAATCAGGTTTACGTGTTGTACTGTAATGCTCGCTGGACAGGAATACTATATAATCAGGGGCTGGTTGTACCTGTTGTACATATGTACGTAACTGTTAACTATTGTATAGTGAGTGAAACCAATCAGAGTCGAGTATTTCTAAGTTTAACTACGATTCCTGCAACTACGGAGAATGTATAGTTCCGTACACGAAAAAGTTTTTATTAACGGCCGCTAGTCATGAAAAATGAATATACTTACCGAGCAAAATAGAGGCACGAAAACAATCAATAATGAAATTCACACATTTAATAAGGAAGTAAGTTTCAGTAATGAATATTATATAGGTTATACAATGCACTATTGCACGTGTGGGAAAATGTAGTATATGACATTGATAACACATAAAGTTCATGTACTGTACACTCTGTACTGTATACGGCAATAGATAGTTAATTATGTCAAGATAAAACGAGCTACTTACTTAGTATCTCCAAGTCCAAGTGCTCCGATTTCTCCAGACCCCCAACTATAGACCATACCTACTTTGCTCAAAGCCAAATAATGCCTTGCGTCGGAATGAGATGCGAGTTTAATAATTTCAGCTTTACCCGCAAGAGATTCGAGCAAGGTAGGAACCTAGAGGGGTAGAATGAAACAAAATCTGATGTAGGCAACTTTTAAACAGTGCTCTCACTGTCTCACAATTTTAGTATGCATACTTTTTACTGTGGGGAAGGATGCTTTGAATGCATGACTGGGACAAAGAACATTTGAGAAATATATCAAATAATTGTCTTTTTTAATTAATAGATAACTATATTACCTGTTTTTCAGCATTATAAAGTTGAGAGTACACCTTGCCATCATGTGTCAGTAAAACAAACGATCTTTCACCACAACTGATTTGTTTCACATTAAGATCAATGAACGCCCGAGAATGAACAGGTGTCGTGGAACAACCATTGTTTGAAACACCGACGAATCCCCAGCTGTACACGTTTTGAGAACCATTTGATTGCACCTAGATAGTTGAGGAAAGAACAAGTATTATTTTAATCATTGTTTTTATCATTTCATTTCACTAGCATGCAGCTCAGTTTAGTAGTTCAAATATACTTCGGAACAGGAAATCTACACAGTCATCGACCCGTCTGTAGGTGGAAAGTGATGAAAGTGGAAACAAAATCATTCTTCTCAGGAAACAAGTTGGAGAAAAGGCGCCGAAATATATCACAGTTTAGTGTTGATATACAATATTTACTTTAACCCAACATTGCTGACAATGTCCAGGGAAATATGACAGTAACATCTATCTTTGTTATACTGTAAGACACTTTAAAAAAAACCCTTACTCCTGAAACATTTTTTGAAGGTAAATGAGACGTTGAAAAGCTATCAAGGTAAGAAAGTATCGTAACAGCAACTTGTTGAACATCGAGTAATTCCAAATCGTCTTCAGGCAATGATGCATAACGAAGAAAACATTCCGTTGGACTGATTACTGGAAGAAACGAAGGTGATGCCTAGAAACGATAAAAATTTCATTAATAAAAGCATAATCTGTAAATAATATTTAATCAGGAAACCTTTTCGTGTAAATGATATTTAAGAATAAGTTTCAAAGGGCGTCTATGACCTAGACTCTGAACTATACAAAAGGTACAAACCTCGTCCGATATTCGTGGAGCGCCTACTTTGCAGTAAGATTCAGAGAGTCGTTCGAGACGTTTCAATATCGGATTCAGTGGAGCCGTGGTACACGAAGAGTTCTTCTCGTTATCTTGGCCACGATCCCACAGACGGAGTAGCAACAATACTGACTCCAAGATGTGGTTTAATGATCCTCGTTGGAAAGCTAATTCAAGAAAAATGCCCAAAGCCATGTGTTGATCCATTATGGGTACATTGTCCAAAGTTCTGTATAGAATACCACCTTCATTGCTTCCTCTAGAAAGAGTAGTGACAGTATAAAAATTTAAATATTGATACATACACATGCACCTACAGGTCATATAATACTGAAGTCTAATTGTTTGTCGTGACAATTCAACCATTCTGGGGCAACTTTTCTTGTACTTTATCATTCACATTTTTATAGCAATCGGTAATATCGGATCATAGACAATAAATTTTGTTCTCGCATGTCCCACTTCAAACATTATTCTTCCCTAATTATGTGTAATACGCGTGATAATAAACTAATATGTAATAATAGTAAGGAGTGGGAATAGGCTAGGTTGCTATTACTACCAACCAACACAGCTTATATATAATATGATATTCTTACAGTGATGTGCTGCTATCTACTGTACAGTATATACACAGGTTTTATAACAAACATTACCCTGATACAACAGCTTTAAGAAACATTGATACTCTTTCAACAGTATCGATCCACACGGGAGAGACAGCTTCTTCGTTGAATAACAAACATTCTGGTAGACTCTGCAAGGCTTCGTGAGCCTCCTGAAGGAACTCGCGACATATATCAGCATCTTCGCCCGACTTCCACGCTCGACGTAAAAACGCACAGGCAAACGAAAATGCGGCACGTGCACCAATGTGCGCCAGACCAACTGCTGAAGATGCAAGTTGTTTTTGGGTGGTTCTGGGAAAATAAAAAAGCAAAGAAATTCAATTTAAAAGTTCTATTTGTTATTTCAGTTTGAAGGCTAGATAACGCTATCCAGCGGATAGCAGTTGGATAGTAATTTTATTTACCGTTGTAGAAACCACAGATGAGATAACGTACACTCAATCACAACTGAGATATACATACTGTATCTCATGTGTCGTAATTAACAATTATCGAATGAGGTTGAACATGATATGAAGAATTATCAAACCAAAGTTTGTGGTTGAACATAATGAAACGTGAATAAACTAAATAAATGGAGCATTCAATGTTAATAGTGAATAGTGAAGCTCTACTTTGAAGGTTTTAAGAAAATTCTATGGTTTAATCTCGTGTTGGTCCAAATTCTCAAAAAAAGTCCTACAGTACTTGTGCAGCCCATATTGTCAACTGGGGCCAGTTGTTGGAAAGGTGGATAAAGTTATCTACTGCCGCTGCTATAAAATAAATTTCAACTTTGAAATTGGGAAGTTCAATCTTGGTCATGCTAAATGGTGATAACTTTATCCATCTTTTAAACAAGCCCTACCAGCCCAAGCAAGTACCAGCCCTAGCTTTCTTTCCAAAACTGAGAAACGTTTAGGTTTTGACCAAATATGGGGAATTTAGTGATGTTAAGTATTCACCTGGAATTTTTTGTGTTTTTCTGAGAATTCTTCGTATCATCATTTTGTGTAAAACCACACCCAGACAAACTACTAGAACTAGATATATACGCAATATAATATCTCTCAAGTACGAGTAGTCTTTGATGCAATCGTACAGAAGATGGTGTTGATTTTGAGGCTTGATGGATTAGCTCCAATTGCTCTGTCATTAATGAACGAACGGCTTCTGTTAGACCTGAGATTGTTGGCTGTTCACCCCACGTCCAGGAATCGATTATTTCATCTGAATCTCGGCAGTTCTTTCCTTCTTCCTCTAAAGTGTTATGTCCAGAACAAGCACAACTTGTGCTACCCCTTGCCTCACATACATTTGATTTTGTCAACCCATTACCCTCGTTTTTGACTACATCCTCTTTTTCATTCCCATTGTTTGCCAATCTCAAATTATTGGCAACTTCACCATCTTTTACGAGTTCATTCCAAAATTTACTCAATCCATTGGCAGTGAATGCCTCCTAATAACGAATATACAATGTAAAGTGTAATATGATATCAGTGATGATGCATCCTGTTTAGTTATAGATAGAAATATAATTATATACATGCATAGGAACTTGGATAATGTGGAAGAAGCTACTGTATTTTATGATATAAGGCAACAGAGTAAGGTGTATTCATTCAATTTCCACTAAAACTGGTTGGACGTTTGTACAGTAACTGATTCTGTGATGGATGCAAACTAGTTTGTTCAACTACTTGGTTTAGTGGTATAGGTACTCCAATCTCAATCAACATAGATTGCAGAAAACGGATACACTTAAACCCATTTTCACCTGCTATTTGTGACTTTCATCAATGAAAAGACACATAAAATTGCAGCAAGAATGTAAATGTAAATGCACTTGAAGGCAGGGGAGTTACTTAACAACCAAGTCCATCAGTTGGCTAAAGACAGGTGCTCACAATGTGATTTTTATATGAATGTATTTCGATCCTGTTCATTGTTTTAGTTTACAAAGCTACAATCCCAGGTGCAATGTCAAATTTGCCTGGGTGCAATATATGCAGCATCATATCCCAGTTATCTCTTAAGCTAACATTGGTTGCCACTTTGTAAGGCTGCGTAGAACCTAGAATCTCACATCTTAGCAATGTCTCTCAATGCTGATTGTTCATGTATACTGAATAACATAACATAAAAATGAAATATTATAAAAACATGTATGCTATAAAGTGAAGGTTGCTGACATAAAAAAATATGGCGTTAAATGTTTATTCCTAATAACTAATAAGTTCAATTTCCACTTCACGTATTCAGTTCATGAATCTAATCTTAAGAAAAGCAGTTTTATTCTTCCTCTTACCTGTAAATCTATTTTCAACCATTTCGTGTCATGTACAGCTTGTGGCCGAAGAGTAGAACTGCTGCATGTATTCTTGCCTTTGCCAGACATACCAGAAGAGGTATTTGTGAAACGTTTACATAATTAATAATCCAATGTATTACTGCATATGTTATTGCACATAATTCTTAGAGATTTTATTTATGTCTGGACAGAAAAGTAAAAGAATCTTTTGCCACAAAAGTCCTTACTTATGAGTCGTACGACACATACACTGGACAAAGATCAGTGGCAAAATCAAAATATTATGGATATACAGGATTAGTGGTGATTGCTGAGTGATGATTACGGACAGGCGATCGACAGTGACCATCATATCCACAAGTATCCTCCAAATCAAGTCTGTGGTTACAAGTTTGAAGTTTCTATCTCTGTATCAGTTTCAAAAGTAGTAAGAACACTTGTAATTTAGAGCGAAAATAGCTGTAAAGTATCTATGACTGAACTATCAGTTGTTCAAACCCGCTTTCCCCTCGTGGCCCCGTATATTGCCTACAATATGTCCCAAGACTTTTAATTTGAAACAGATCTACGCTCTGTTTCGAAGGTAGCTATTAGGTGAAGAAAAACCAGATACCTCTAGAAGTCAAGAAATTCAAGAGACAGATTAGAAATCAAGAAATAAGAAATACCGATATACGATATTTTTTAGAAGTTTGAATGGTTCATGAACAGAGGTTCTGTTGGCTTTATACTGCCATATTCTGTCATACAATTTTAGAATGGTTTGCGCATAAGTTTAAAGTTTTCGACGGATTAATATTGAATATGTCTAAAAAACATCAGTGTGTCATCTGATTTATTAATTATTAGTCTCGTAATTGATTAGAATTATTCAATATTCACTAATATATTACTTTAATTTCATGAACGAATTACCATAATGAAATTTGGTACGATGACTACGATCGTATCGAGCGACGGCTTATAAAAGGCGTTACTTGCATTTGACTAATTCAGATATCCAGAACTACAAAAGTTGAAGAAAGTGAAGAAAGTCAGAAATGAAAATCTGTAACTTATACATTTTCTTTTCTGTTGCTGTGTTGGTGATGCCAATTTTGAAAGCTCGCAGCTGGCTCAATAAGGGTTGGATATTGGATATTTCGGGTGATGGCAGAGTAAGTGCACGACTTTCATCATATATCGTCATTGGCGCAGCCAGCCTGACGAATTTGTCCGGCCGCGATGTAAATTTCAAGTTATTATAATTATTGTTGTCTTTACAAATTTATTGTTTTCACAGTTAATAAACAGCAAAATATTAGCTTAGTGGGACAAATCGTCAGGCTGGCTACGCTACTGTAGGCCGTGTGCGTAATAGTGAAAGTTCCTGAAAATATATAAATGATTAGTATATACCGTCCTTTTATGAATGCTTGAAAACTATGAGCAATCCAAGGTATACAAATTAAACGAACTATTTAGTGAACGATCTTGACATGAACGAAACTATCATCATTGCATAAAGAGAAATTTCGGGTAGCTAAACCTCCTTAATATGAGGGGGGGGGGCGTCTCTCCATTCATAATTCTTGAACAGATTGTGCCATATCAATGTAGAAAACTGTTTCTTGTTTTTTTGTTGTTGACCATTCTCATAAGCACCTGTTCAGTTTGACAATACACGCACCCCTCATAAACAGCCATGTTCTTTAATCATGTACATTATTTCAGCAGAGGTACACATTATTTCTGTCATGCACATTATTTCTGTCACTCTCCACCTTACGACCTACGTTCTTATTTTAGTCGCAACATGATGGTTGTGCAATGTTTCAGCAACCATGTTCGGTACACTCGGACTGTCAAGGAGGAAAATGCAAAAATCTGATATGTGGTGCGGAATTGATGTGTCACACAGAGAGAAAGTGTATTGAAGCCGATTTTTTTGCACCAAATTGTGGAAAATAATAAAAACTGCGAAAATTTCTATCATGCATATGGAGTGTATTTAATAAGCATTAAACAGTCGTCAATAAAAATTTTTAATTGTAAAAAATGTGTGTACAATACCTTATATGTGAAAATTTAGGCTATAATTGGAGCATCATGGTGCGGTGTTGGGACGGTTATAGTTACGTCAAATATCGCCAAAGAGAATCTGTCCGTCCTAGTTACACATTGCCAATCCATCTCACTGCTGAATTGTAGAAAAATCAAATGCCTTATAATTTAACAGTTCTCAGCAAGGATGATGCTTGAGGCAATGGAATCGTTAACTTGATCCTTAAGTCAGTTGCAAGACAAAAACATTTTTGCAAGCACAATTATGATATGCCACGCATATTATTACTTCTATCATATACATTCTAAAATGTTTTGCGCACAAGTTGTAAGCGAGAATAGGATAACTCAGCTGATGAATATGCATCTAACAACTGACTGCAAGATTCCCAAATAATTCCCATTTGGCAAGTAATTTTTTCACCTTGAAACATGCCAAGACTGATGTGCATTTGATAATTTAATAATGGGTTTTTAAGATTTAATAATTTCTTCCTTGACTTTTGGCCTAGGCGTACATGTATAATTTTCAAGAAAAGAAATTTGAAAAAGAAATAAAACTGACTTGTCAAAGTTATTAGCTAAAACAAAAACGTTAGTGCCGTACGTACAGTTACAATCGCTAAAAATGAGCTAAAATCTAAATTTAGGTGTTTACGCTATACTCCACGTCCACGGGAGTTTTACCCCTAAACGTATGATAACATGATTGCTTTAATATGATCTGTCAACTGAAAAAGTTCTAGGCACAGATATATCGTAATCATCAACATATATCGTAACAGATAGATGTTAATGAGTATATCTGTCAGACGAAGATTCGACATTCGAGTGACTGGCGGATACGCAGAAATATCATAAATTGCATCTATTCTTTAGGGTTCGTCCACTAATGATATGCATATCTTTCATTGCAAACACGATGCATGGTTCCTAATAAATAGCAGCTGTGAGTGTGTCAGAATCATAGCTATGAACTTTAACTATAGTTACTTGTCACATCTTATCTATACAATTTCTTCGACTGCATGCATGCATCCTTCACAAACATTATATCAGTTTTATCTATCAATATGGCATGCAACTTGCCACATAACGTCATAAGATTGACATTTTCAGCGGGTTGCAGAAGAATCGAAATAGAGTTCAATTTTTCCCGGATATCCAATATTTTTCTAAATTGATTACCTGTTCTTTGCAATATAACAACTGAACAGGATGCGCATTAATCGGCTTATTTGTTTGAATTGTGATAAAAAAAATTTCGTAATTGCATGAACGAATTTTCATAATTAAATTTGTTGCGATCATATTGAGCGACGGTTTATAAAAGAAGTTAAAACTAAAGATTCAAGTTTTTCTTATACACCCAATGTACATGTTTTTTAAAAATGTCTCTGACGGAAAAGAAAAATTGCAAAAGAAATCCGTCGGGCAGCAAAGAACCCATACCCCCAACTATCGTTCTATAGCTACGCCAATGGGAACATTATATTAAATGTTAATAATCAAAATCTTATTTATTAGTCTCATAGTTGTACAGTATAAATATTCAATATTCACTAATATATTGCTTATTGCCAATATTGGTGTCATGGTTTAAATTGTGATCAAATAATTTTATTCTTTATGAACGCCGAATTATCCTAATTAAATTTGTTACGATCATATTGAGTGAAGCCTTATAAAAGACGTTATACTTGAGTTTAACTAATTCAGATATCTAGAACCACAAAAGTATATAGAAGAGAGCGAAGAAAGTCGGAAATGAAAATCTGCAACTTATACATTTTCCTTTTTGTTGCTGTGTTGGTGATGCCAATGCTGACGGCCCACTCGCTTGAGAGTGCGGTTAGCCGCGTAAGTAACTTAACTTTCACATGCATATACCGTAATACTGGGGGTTTTTGAAAAGAAAGAAAATCACTGTCCTTCTATAAACACTACAAAACTTGGTGATAAGATTGAGTTTAACACAAATTTAATGGAAAACAAATAAAACTGACGATTCAGTGAGTGAACAATCTTCATCATCATTTCATAAACACATGCAGGTGTGTATTGGAAAAAAGGTGACTCAGTCTTCCTTAAAAATTCTAGTTGCGATGGAGGAGGGGCGTCGACCTTTTTATAATTCTTATTTGATCTTAGGAGAAACGTGGTTCTTGCGTAACGTCGTGGAGGGATTGTTCAGAGGTGCGCTGTTGTAAAAATCTGATATGTGTTGTTATGAATTGTGAAGGAGAAAAACAGTGTGTTCCTGCAAATTTCAACACACCGAGCATTTCCTGCAAGAACAATATAAAGTTTTAAAATCTTCATCATGCATATGAAGTGTATTTAATCAGCATTAAACATTCAATAAAAGTTCTTAATCGTATAAGTAAATGAGTGTATGATATTCATCAATCATCATTGGGAGCGTTATTGCGCGGGTGTTTGGAGTCTGTCAAAATATACCATGCAGTCGATCTCATGCAAAGCAGGATCTCCTTTACGAATTAATTCAACCAACGGTCTAACAGTGTATATGTCCACCGAGATTACCATGGTTTTATTAGTTTAGTAGGCATTGCATTAAATCCTCAATTGCGCAAATACATACCATATAATAATTGTTGCATAGCTGCATTTGGTACTTCGACCCCATGTTGGCTACTGATTATCTTGACGGTTGATAAATTTTTGACACAGCAAAAACTCAAAGTATCACATGTGCAGAACACTCTTTAGGATTCGAATTTTTATAGTATAACCTACTTCTACCTTGTCCATTCAAACTTCGAATTCTCTGGTTGTACAATTGTTCGATTCCTGTTTTAGACTTTTGCCATGGTTTATTTATTTCCTCTTCTCTGATGGCTTCTCAAAAAGGCAGAATATATATCGATGACCTATATGGCCTTATGATTGAATCCATGTTGTGACCAAATCGCCCACTTTCTACTGCAGGACAATCTAAAATTTATCGTAATTATCGCTACTCTGCATGGTTTTAATAAATGAAGGTAATCACCAGACAAAGATTAACTTTCACGACCCAACGTTTCGACACTCCGGTCTAGTGTCTTCATCAGGGGTTAGACCGGAGTGTCGAAACGTTGGGTCGTGAAAGTTAATCTTTGTCTGGTGATTACTTTCATTTATTAAAACCAGAGTAGCGATAATTCAATGGATTATATACGTGGTTGCCGTGA